CAAGGGTGGGTGGGACAAGCACCACCACAAAGACACACAGAGCCATCTCCAGAATGTACGACAGTTTCTCCACCCCAACCAGCACTCTTGCAAGAGTCAATATATTTAAACCAAGGCATGGGGAGAGTGGAGGGCGGCACTTGCTTAGCTTGTGTGAGATCCTGGGCTCGATCCTCAATACTACCACCAATGAAACGGAATGAAATGAAATAAAAAGTAAAATGCGTATGAACAGTATGTGTGTGTAGGGTAGGAAGATTCTTCCAGAAGCAAAAGTGACTTAAAAACATAACAAATACAATGTACGGGCCTTGACTGCCTCAGGTTTTTAAAAAAAAATTTTTTTTTTTTTTTTTTTTTTTTGGTCTTTTTCCTTTTTATCGGTACCAGGGATTGAACTCACGACTGCCTGCTTGCAAGGCAGGCGCTTATGCCGCTGAGCTAAATCCCAAGCCCCAACTGCTTCAGTTTTTTAAAATTGTAGTTATAGAAGACCTGTCATATTTGGGGAAAGGTAAATGTGAAATGTGTTATTAGGTGACATTATAGAGTTACTATATTCTTAATTCTCTTATGTTGTTAGGAGGAAGTAAATGTGGCAAAATTCAAACAATCACTGAATCTGTACAGGGCAGACTGATATTCTCTGGACTATTTCTTGTCTTTCCTGTGGGTCTGACAACTTCTAAGTTAAAAACTGGGAAGGTGTGTGGGGTGTGGGACTGGTGATCACAGAAAAGGCTGTGCCAATACAGAGGATACACAAAAGCCGGCTCAGTATGACAGAAAATGTCAGGCATTCTTACGTGAGATTAAGATATGAAAGCTAGGTGCACTGGCTTGTGATTTTACTTTGGGCCACAGGAAAAAGGCTATCAATTCTAACTGTTTCTGTACCACACAGATTTCTACCAATCTGCTGGTCCAAATATTGATGACATAAAAACAGATTTATCCAAGCTCTTAAATGCTTGTTTTGTTAAAAGCTAATTCTCTCCACACTTCAATCCAGACCTCTGACTGCACAGTGAAGAAGGCTTGAGTTTGCTTTGCACTCACAAGCCGTGAGAATAAACATTCATAAACGCCAACATATACACTGGCCAATGATGACCTTTGGCTGATGGTTGGGCAATTTCTCCACACTGGAACAACTGTTGAACTCTAGGGCTGCTTAGCTCTGTTCTGCTTCGGCTCTGGTTTGAGTAACTTCACTGAGTCACAGAGTAGAAACAAAGCTATCAAATCAAGAACTGCCTAACAGGCAGAACACAACCAAGCCCCGTCACTAAAAGTATTTCTTTTTATGCAGACAACCAGTCACTTCCGTGAGATCCTAGAAGACCTAGAATGGAAAGTCACATAATAAACTGGCCTCTGGGTTTGCATGGCTTTCCTTGTACACATAGGGTCCTTTACAAAGACCACAACTTCATTAACAAGGCGAAGCTGACATCAGGATATGCCACTGTTTGGTAGTCTGCATATTCACATAGATTGAAAAACAGGATATACACAGGACCTGGAATCTGTGCTCATAACTGCCTGGACTGAGTTTATAAGGTAAGAAGTCTTTTAGCGTGCCAGGATGGTAATCTTTATGAAAACCAAAATTCTTCCTGAGGCTGTTAAGACTGGTGTGACATCTTCCTTCAGGACAAAACTTCCCAGCTAAAAAATGAAGCAACTGGTTAAGGGGAGGGGAGGTGGGGAGGTTATTTACAAAAGTAAATAAATAAATGGCACATAAATGCTATGATCTGAAGATGCACTGAAATCAGGGATTTGAAGTGAGGAAAAGTATTCAGTTTGTCTGGCACAGAAGTGGGTTCATTGCCTATAAAGGGAACTGGTCTAGCAGGAAAGCATAAGTTCCTGCCCTCAGACTTGAACACCACCCAAGAAGACACACACTGAGACCCCTGCCTGGACACAAATACCTGGAAGGGGAAAGATGATGGCCTCAAAGAGGGCAGAGAGTGTTATACTGCACAGAACAGACTAGCATTGAAAATATGCTTACAGATAACAGGATGGCATGGCCTCATCTTAACAAACCAAGCCCTTCCTTCCTCAAGGGCAGCCAGGTGCACACTCTCACCCAGGAGCCTGGCCCTCTACCTCCTGCAGCTGGGCCAGACTGACAGAACAGTCTCTGTGCTAGAAAGACAGAGCCTAACAGCTGGCATATTCAGCTGACAGATTCACTTCCTTGAGATCACTACTTCCTCCCCTTCCACTTTCTCAGCAAGATCTACTGCAATGCATAAGGTAGCCTCTTAGGGATTTCTTCCTCTCCCCAGCAGTTCAAGAAGGAAAAACCCGACAGTTCTACTTCAACCAAACTATAGAAAGGCTCATCCTCTACTGAGTCTCACCAGTGGGATCTTGCCCAGCCACACAGTCCATTGCTTGGCCTGCACTTTTGTGTCTAGGTAGGGCCTCATTCCTGGGTCAAGGGCAGAACCAGCTCTGGTCTTGCCAGCTCTTCATCACTACTACCCTCTACTGTCCCAAGACCTACCAGGCACTTCCACAAACCCCATCCACATCAAGACTTCCACTGAACAAAAGTCCTTCTTCAGTTTTTGCAGAGAAAGCACAAACTACAAAGGAATTTGCACATATGCTCACACTTAAAATTAAAGAGATGAGCATGTCCCCAGAGATTCAGATTCTGGACATATTCAACCAGGTATACTTCTCAGCTGTGAGCAACTCTGCACTGTGTTAATCACATTTTCCTCTCTGAATTACAAATGCCAAACCCTAGAGGGGAGAAGGCAGGTTATCAACATCAATCAAACCCACAAACAGCCACAGTTAAGTGTCTTAGTTATTTTTCTCATAGCTGAGACAACATACATGACACCCAAAGTTAAGTAAGGAAAGTTTATTTCAGTTCAGAGTTTGTAGAGGTTTCAGTTCATTATTGGCTGGCTCCAAGATAGGGTTGCATGGCAGAGGGGCATCACACAAGAGAAACAGTTCATGGCAGGCAGAAGGCAGCAAAGTAGCAAAAAAGTAGTAAGTGACCAACAAAAATGTTCTTTCTGTCTTTTGTATTTTGTTTAGACTACCCACACTAAGGGTGGGTAACACGCAAACCCAGGGCGGGCCATCCCATTATTCACAACTAGAATGATGCCAACCAATCAGTGGACTAATTTAGTAATCACACGAATCCCAATATAACACTCTGGAGCCAGTCACCTCTGAAAAGGTCCACCTATGACAGCATGAGGCTTTAGGGGAGACATCTAAATACAAGCCATAACTGGTAGGTAGGCTACATAATCTCTGGTCAAGGGAGAAAATAAAAATTCAACCAGGGCTGAGAATACAGCCTAGTGGTAGAGAGCTAACCAACACGTGTGAGGCCTTGAGTTCATTTCTAGCACCCCTGCCTCCCAAATTAAATCTATGGTTCTTTCAGGAGAAAGGAAGGCTGGTTAGAGGTGAGGAAAGCAGGAGAAAAGAAAGGCTGTACTCACAATGTCTTTTCATACACACACACACTACCTACTCTCAAATCAGTAAGTGAATTTGGCTAAGTTGTCAAAAATTGTTGTGGGAATGTGAATATTTTTTAGAGCAGAGAAGGTAGCAAGGTAAGTAGAGACTAAAAAGCGAAGAAAAGGTAGCAAACACTACAGTTGGGCATTTGTTGCAGGATTTAGCAAGGCCAGAAAATTAGAAAGCAGTGTCATCCCTCCAGGGAAACCTAAAGCCTCAGAAAGTTCACTTCCACAAACACTTATTATAAACAAGTACCGTAATGAGACCTTACAAGATACCTGCACACAGCTGTCTGAGTCCTAAGGCCAACTGAGGTGCTGGAACTCCCTGCTCTGCCCAGAGAGTACAGCAGGAAAGTTTTGAGAACAAGTCATTCTGGAATTAATGCTTATGTACAGATAGTTATAGCCTTATCTTCACCCAAAACACAATCACAGGGTACTCCTAAGCCCATATGCTACACTAAGCTTTCAGTTACTTTAATAAGAAAGATGTGCATTAAGAAAACAACATCTCCACCAAACCCTACTCCGACCCCGCTCTGGCACACCGGGCAACAAGAGCCTTCTGGGACTACTTCTCATTAGGAAACTCCCAAAGAAGTGCCCCTGGTTACTGCACAGGGACTCTGAGACCTCTCATGATCTTCTGGGCCTCCTTCTCCAACAAATCATTAGTTTGCCTGAGTTTCATGCAAAGAAAGAAAACTTAACATATGCATAATAAAAGGTTGGGAAAGGGAACAACCAGGGAAATCTTGAGATGCAACTTAAGGTCAACTTGAGACAAAGATGGAACAGGTGGTCCTGCTGGGGAAAAAGTTGGGGGGAAGGTGTGGGGAGAGGGCAGTCCGGTCGTATCTTGCCATGACCAAGGGGAGAAAAAGGCCAAGGGCTGGCGCTAGTGGTTCTGGATGCGGGAATCTAACACACTTCAGGAACCACAAGGGATGCAAGACAGCAAGACTCAAATGAGAACAGAAAATGCAAATCTTTTAAAAGTGCAAAAAAAAAAAAAAAAAAAAAAAAAACAACCCCAAAAACAAACAAATAAAACCCTCAGCATCAGACATATAGGGATGTGAGTTCAAAGCGCAAAGGGAAAGACTAAAGAGAAACCTTTGAGAGGGGTTAGAGGGTTGCCACCCCCGGGGATCATAGCTCCAGGCTGTTACGCGGGTTAACCTTAACTTGTGATGAAAACGTGGGAAGGGGGCGAGTTTTAGACTGGTACCTCAGAAGACAGACGTGTAAGGTGGCAAGGGGAGGGTTCCTCCCGACTCAGGACGTTTGGGGTTAGGGACCTGGGCGATCTGTAGTCTGGAAATGTCCAGCCTGAGCTCGCGGGGGGAAGGCGTCTTGGCAAAGGGCCTACGTGCCCACGCCTGACCTTTTTGGGCAGTAGGGTGCCCGGGGCGGGGTGGGGTGGGGTGGAGGGCTCTCAGCGCAGGGCCCGAGGAGGGGTTGGGGTCCGGGACTCACGCATCAACGTGCTGAAGGCCACGACACCGAGCAGCCCTTGCAGGAAGATGCCGAAACTGTGCATGAGTGCGCCGCTCTCGCAGCGGCCCGGTCCAGAGGCGACCGTAGAGGGCGGCCTGCCCGTCAGTCCGCGGCTCGAGTTCCCTGCGGGGCTCTGCATGGCGGCCTGACCCGAGGGCGCGGGGCGCCGGCCCGCCCGGCCTCACTGCTGCCGGGGCCGCGCCGCCAAACGCTGGGCTAGTGATTCTGCGGGCGGCCGACTCCGCGCCGCGCGTAAGCCGACGTCTGAGATCACAGGGCCCGATTGGCCCGGCCCGGCATGGGGGCGGGCCCTGCCTTTCCCTGAGGGGCGGGACTCTGGCCAAGGCGAGTGGGCAGGGCCGTGGGTCTCGGTTTGTAAGTAGCCAGACCAGGTGAGTCTGGGGCTTCTCAGAGCAGAGTGTCCACCGCGGGGACCTCGAGCTCCAGAGGTCAGGAAGACAGTAGCAAGGATATCTGTGGCTAAATTTTTCGGTGGCTAAATTTTTTTGCCGCCAAGCTAAATTCCTTGCATCCAGGTGAATTTATTAAAAACATGCTTGGATTTCATCCTCGGAGATTCCAATTTGGCACTTCAGGAGTGCGCTCCAATAAACTGCAGCTGATTATTCTGAGCAGATGGTTGAGGAATACAAGAGAGCACAGGTGTCTTCCTTCCAAACTAGATATTCGGTGTCCTTCTACTTCCCTGGCCCAAAGATGGAATTCAAGTCATTAAGCAAAGCCCCGAATTACGCCCCCTTCCTTTTTATGACATGGGATGTTGTGTTGTGTAGGCTAAACTGAAACTCAGCTCAAGAAATCCTGCCTCATCCTCTAGAGTAGCTGGCACTACAGATGGGTGACTATGGCTGGCTCCCCAAAGTATAATTTAAATAGTGACTTGAACTTAATAGTTTCATTTAGAAATATACTGAATTTAGATTGAAAAGTCAGTGTACACAAGTCCTCACTTTGTTCACTTAGGGGGTAAAACTTTATGTTGAATGTGATTGGTAAAAAAGCAAATGATTGGTTTTGCCAGTCTCAATGTCCCTTGCAACACACTAACATGTTTAGGACAGAGGCTGTAATTCCTAAGTCTGGCTCCCAGAGGTGCTCTGAACCCCCCGACACACATGACTGTCAATCAGGCAGCATGGGGCAGCCCAGTTGGGTGATTCTAGCTTTGGGGAATATGTTAACCTCCACCTGACTGGTTGGAACCTGTTTTCTGGCTGTGTCAGGGATGCTAGTCTCCTCTGACTTCTGTCCACATATCTCTTGCTGCTCCAGAACACCTGTCCTTCCTGCTGTATGTCACCGTAAACACAGCTCAAGCCTGGCTACTTTTGTTGAACAGTAAATACTACATCCAGGGATTTTTTTCACCCATAAAATATCTTCAAGAAATTCCAATTATATGAGGATTAAATGGTATCTAAAAAGTTTCTTAGTTGACAGGAATATTTACCTGATTATCCAGACAACAGTAATATTTTCCAGTCTTTGTCTTATAATACACTTTTCACCTCTGTGTCTCTACATAGCATGGTAGCTTTGCTCTGCTCTGCAAACTGCTGCTTACGCTTGAGTGCCCACCTGACCGCCTTTTGTGCTCCCTCGTTCCCTTGGGCGTGGTGGTCTGCTGTAACTTGCCCAAGTGCTAAGTCACACACCTATCTACGTGGCTTGTACAGCCAAATGTGAGCCTTCTGAAGACAAGAACTGGTTTTTACTCATTTATGAATCCAACACAACGTCCAGCACAGATAACATACAACAAAATACTTTTTAAATTAAGTTGAAGTTTAATTTATAAATTTTAAAACTCTACACAAATATTGATCATTGGCAAATACAGAAAATCAGTTTAAGAAAATAAATGGATAAAAGAAGATTAGACTACTGTTTTCAAGACCAAGAGAGATCTTATGTGGTTCTCAGAGAGAACCAAACCAGAGGACATGTCTTAAAGCAGAAGGAGATTGTGACTGGGAATAAGAAGACTCTGAGTTGCTTGAAGACACAGATAGCTCAAGGAAAACTGCACAGTGGGCTGAAAAATGAAGTTCCAGACAAGGCCAAGTTTGCACATCCAGATGTAGAAGCATCCTTAAGGCCCACAGAGAACAAGAATCACCTTTAGAGTTAAAGGGCAGAATCCTCAGTGGCAGGAGCAAGGTCACTGTGGAGGATTCTGCTGTTCCTACCTTTCCTGAGCTGAAATGAAAAAGTATCTAAATCCAGAGAGAGAAAGGATGAGAGGGGCAGAGAATTATGTAATTTTATTAAAGTAGAAAGGAATATTCTCCTGTATTTAGAAATAATTCCCCCAGGCCTGCCCCCACCCCCTGGCCTGGAGTTTTGAAGAGTATAGTCTGGCAAAATGCCCTCCTGTCAAATCTGCAAAATGACGTTAAAGTTTCTCTTCAAGTTTATAAAAGTTATTTATGAAAAGTAAAGAAAACACGCAGATCTGTCCAAAATAGTGTTCTGTTTTTAATCCTTTGATGTTATGCCATCAAATGATGGGAGTTATTTTATAGGTATTCATGTATATATTTCTGCTTAAGAGTATTTTATCTTCAATGGGTAACTTTGAAATTAAGAGAAAAGAAGAACAAGCAGGAAAGATACAACGTAATAAGCATTTCATTTCATTTCACTCCAAACAAGCAACTTTAAAAAAAAGGCAAAATACATTAAACAAAGTGCATCAGTTCCAACAAGTTACTACTAGAAAGAGGCCTAAGGACAGTGCTGGAACCAGCCAGGAGTCCTTCCCTGGCAGGCCTCTGATTGTCGTTAGAGAATATTCAACCAAAACAGGAAGGGAAGGGAAAAGAAATAAGCACTTAAAATCTCAAAAGAAATGTTCAAAGTATGTTTCTCAGAGATCTGTGCAAAACGAGCTAAGACCTGTCCAGCATTAACTTTACCAAGTTTTATAATCTCCCTAAGTCTTCTGCTTTGTGACTTGATTTTCACCACAAGCCTATCCACTTAACATAATCTGACTACCGCCCTTCTGCCAAGCTAGGCTTGGGGTCTGACTGAATGAACCATGTAAAGAAACCCTTAAGACTTGAATTTCCACACATCCCGTGAACAAGCATGCCAATCCCCATCAGCCATGGTGGCACCATTTCACTAGTCATCATCCTTTGCCCCCTAGGGCACAGGTCTACACTTTACTGCTGGTGTAGGGACATGCTTAGCACGTTCTGCCTTGTATGGTTCCCTTTCCTCACAGTCCTTTGTGATAGGCCACAGTACCAGGACAGACCGGTCAGCATAAGGGGCAAGTTTTAGGTCTACTTCTCTCTATCCTCAACTCTTCACTCCTAGTTTTTCTGGATCCTGTGAACATCTGCTTCTTAAACTCCATATCCAAGAAAACAAATCTGCACTGCACTGTAATGCACACTACCTCCTATACCTCTGAAAGACTCCCCTAGAAACAAGGCCACCAGTATGGTCTGAAACAAGCACTAATGAAACATCTTAAGTAAGAGGGCTTGAAACCAGACCAATTTGGACTGGCCTTCAAATTTAAAACTCTTACACCAAAACTCCAATTCTAACAGGTAGCTGATTTAGATAAATTCAGATTTCCAAAGCATACACATTCTCATACAAGGGAATCATCAGAATTCACTAGTTAAACATTTACAGTAATAAAGTCAAGAAAGAATTATAATGACAGGAAACTGATGTTTCTTTTTGATTTTGTAGGAGGCTGTCAAATAGTTTCTGAGCCAGCAGCATACCTGTGATACATGGTTACTTATAGTAGACGCAGGACTAAAGACATTCAAATTTAAAAAGGGAACAATTGGTCTGCACTAAGATTTACATTTCATATCTGTTGGTGATGCCTCCTTCATGATAAGGCCTTTACATCCTACTGCTAACACAGAACACTTGAAATTGTGTGCATGCATATGCCCACACAGAGAACATCTCCAGTGCAGGAACCAGAGTTCAAATTGAAGGCTTGAGGCTAACAACTCTTTTAGAACTTCCATGGGAATAAATCAAACCAGCAAATAAGACCTTGGTGACAGGTAAGTAAACATAAATGCCAGTGACACTTTTCACAAGTCCTCATCTAGATTACCTATTTTCTGTGTGTCCCCTGAAGAGTTGTTGATTTGAAAAGGAGAAATAGTTCTGAACCCTATTCTACCTAAGGCCTCCTAGAACTTTTAAATTGTATTCAGGTACTACATTAGTTACTGAATTCATACTAGAGAGCAAATAAAATGTATTCAAATCCTCAGAAAACTTTGGTCTAATGCCCTTTCTCTCACAGTGACAATAATTTTACTTACAGGAGAGAAGACATATGAAGGCCAAATTCTGACTGTTTTCTATGTGTTCCTCTATTGTAATTCAATACATATTTACCAATATCATTTCCAGTGTTTTGTGATTATCTTTCCTTGACCTAAGGTTCTATTTTGTAGATCCTAATAGCTACCAATATTCCTAAAGGAAAACTAAAGATGGGATTAGAAATCCCTACTAATGCATTTCTTGCATTAGTCATTTCAAATTCTGCTCAAATAAGAAGGAAGATGTTCACAAAGGAAAACAGCATGGTCCTCAAAAGCCCACAAACTATAGGAAAAAGCCCAGAGCAAATCTGCATGTGCAATAAAAGGTCTCCCTTATACGCTAACCTAGTGGTAAAAGTCTATTGGCTGTCTAACTTCTCAAGTCCAGGAGGATGATCCAGTCCATTAACCTGTTTTTAAGCCTGTTAATCCAAGGTAAAAATGGATCATGAAAATCCTGATCTCAGACAGCTATGAGACCAATTAAAGGTAAAATCCAGATAAATGTAGCTCCTTACTAATGTACCTCTCATAAATTTAAGAGTATGTCTCTAAAACACAAAGTTCATCCGTGTGTGTGTGTGTGTGTGTGTGTGTGTGTGTGTGTGTGTGTAATACATAAGCATTTACTCCAACACAGTAAACTATTATCAGGTTTAACATCTGTTTTGCATCACAATAAATGGGCTATCACTGTTCCTACTCCCAGTGGCTCTATGAGGTAAACAGCATTGAAAATTTGTGCTTTAAAAAAAATGCCCTGTGCCACATTTCCAAACAATTATCCTTTAATATATAATATCTGGAAGAAGGGGAAGGGAGAATATAGTTTTTCTTTAATACAACTGTCCAAAAAAATGTATCCTAGCAGATGAATACAGCAAATATTAAGGGAAACCCCACTCACATGTGCAGTTTAAAGCCAGTTTTTCTCTAGAAGGAAACGGCTTAACTAATCATGGTAGAGATAAACCAACCTGTTATGCTCCGACCCCACACAGGTTAGAGACCATGTACTTCAACTATCAGGGGCTCCAGCCCCTCATCTGTCAAGGGAGGTGGTTCTAAATGCTGGTGTCTGAAGAAGTCAAGAAGAGAGACAAAATAACATTCAATACTATTATTACATTTTGTAAATTTCACTTTCCTAAACAAGAATGCAATATGGGACTCTAAACATTAATTCTGGAACTTTTGTGTTCCATTGCTCTTCCTCAAGGGACCCTCTTTTGCTTTAATGCCTTGACTGCTAAGCTGTTGGGAAACTTCCTAAACACGATGTCACCATCCCAAGTCCACCTGCTTGATGCTGACTGTTCTCCAGCATCCTATATGTTTCTTCCGCAGATAAAAAAATTAACCAAATTTTAAAAACTGGATCTTTCAGTATGTTCAAATATGCTTTTACTCAAATGAAGCCTATTTTCAAAGACAGCCGGCATTAACCCAAGCAGAATTAATGCTTTATGATTTGGTTGGAAGGCTTGAGTCAAAGTGGTTTATCTAATAAAGAAAGCATCCACACTATAGATTACTTGCCAGTGTTCATAAAAACAAGTGGAGTTTGAGGAGAGAAATGGAAACACAATCAGTTTAAATTTGTAGTAGTATTACCTTATATTTGTATAGTTGTTTGGAATTTACCCAGTTTGCAGTTTTAAAACAGTTTCAGTTCTGGAAAAGATTAGGTTATAAATTTGCAAGTGACTAAAATAATGCAAAAGTAAATAAATAAGTAAACCAGGTGAAGGAGGCAATCTGTGTAGGTCTTTTCTCATTCCTGCCCAGAACAGTAATAAGTGCTATTATTTTCTAATAGTTGGCAACAAAATCATAAAAGTGAAAATTTGCCTGAAGTTTCATGTTAATTTAAGGTGAATTAAACACCAAAAAGGACACTGAGTTATCAAGTGGGACTTCAATCTACAGATCACATTCAATTTAAAGGTAATTGAAGAAAAGCATAAATGAGGCTGGGCAAAGGGGTTTCCCGACTCCTTAGCCATTCCCAATTTTACTCTGCTACTGAGGAAAGTGCTGCAGAAACTACACGCTGTTTTACCACCAAACTCTATACTCTCTGCTGCTCATCTAAAAAGCAGAAGCAATAGGGTAGCTGGCTCTTTTCTTTTTTTCAAGATGGGGTCTAGATGGCCCTGAACTCATGGCAATCTTCCTGCCTCAGCCTCCTGAGTACTATGATAACAGAGAAATGACCTTTCTTTACACTGGATCCAAAGGGATACCTACTATTTTCACAAGAAGTAAGGACTGCAAAAATGAAACAGAGGTAGACAAACAACTCTAGAGAAAGTAAACACAAAATAAAAGCTACTTAAGTCCTCTGAGACTAAAAAGGCCAGAGTAATCAAACTAAAATACTAACAATCTTCATGAGGCTACTTGACACAGGTAGCTGGAGCTGGGTCAATGGAGAACCACGACAGTAGGGTTCTTAGATCAGGCCTGTTGAGGAACTGGTTTAAATGCCAACATAGTGTTCTTAAGAGGGCAAATAGTGTTTTTCTGCCCTTCAACTTCTGTCATAGTTTTAGTGTTCACTAGCTTAAAAATGGCATCATACAAAAACCTCATTCACAGCCATAAGCTCAATTATCAACAGAGGTAGTAAACAAAGGAACTTTTAGAATAGATTCTAAAATGGATCAAAGTATGACTATACATTCAAAACCTTGGAGCCACATAATTATCCCCAAAATGAACTCTTTTAATTTTAAAATGCTTAAAAACACAATGACAGTGAAGCACTGATGTGCCTTAGGCACAGTTACAAATCAGTGCTGAATTAAAGCTATGTCTTCTCTTTCAAAAAAAAGAAAAGAAAAGAAAGCAGAGAACAAAGTTCAGTCTACAGTGGGAAGAAACAGGATGAAAAGGAAACTAAAAAGGTGCTATCCAGTCACCTAGATTATTCTTTGTTTTCAGTCCACACCACTGGAAATGCTTACTCTTCTTCTTTTTCTTCACAGCCTTTATTTTTTAAAAACTGCAATATGAGATGTCCACATTTCCACTGGCAGGAGAGCCACTTTTGTGCCGTTTTTTGCTTCCTCGGTGTGGGTCCTCCTTCCCTGAAAGTGCAAAGAGAGCAAGCCGACACCTGCAGGGTCCAGAGCCCCAGGATTACTCAGCTCCACTTAGAGAACAGGGTAAGAGATTGGCTGCATTTGTGCTTCAAAGGTCCAGCTCACTTTGGTTGTCCTTCTCAGTTGGCAAACTGCTCATAAAAAGCAAACTTGATCCTTTCTATGTGATGGCAAAGCTTGATGGCAGGGCCTAATTTTAAGTCCATGCACTCTTGAACGGTAGGAAGGGTAAGGAGCAACAGGGCCTGACCATCAATTTCCTGTTAAGGGATAAACGCAAATTACGTATGACATGCATGTGAGTAGCAGCTTGATCATGACAGTCCCCATTTATTTTGTCTGTCAAAATCAATGTCCCTGTCCTTCACGGTCCAAAGCAACAAAGTCCTTCACTTTCCCTTTAAATAAATGTCACACATTTTCTTTCTGGTGGCTCTTCAATCCTACACCCTAAGGAACTTTTAGAGCTGATTAATAAATTTTACCAAGAATGAGAATCTATTCTTCAAGCCTCTGTTCAGCAAAATTCAGTAAGCTAGTGAACCCTGTAACTGCCAGGTAACTGTGCAAAATAACATCTTTTTAGAGGGGCCAAAGTCTGAAACAAAATATTAACTATAAACTTTAAGGCTCTTATAACATTTGTAAAAACCAGTTAAAATCTTCAAAGATGTTCAGTTTTGAACACCCTTCAATTACCAAAACAAATTTCAATATTTATTTAGGGTCACTGACTGTTTTCTTCCCAGTGCTGGAGATCAAACCCAGGATCATGTACATGCAAGGTAAGTAACAGATCACTGAGCTACATTATCTGTCCACCACTGTTAGTACTACAGCAAGTCTACCTCTGTGTGTGTGTGTGTGTGTGTGTGTGAGAGAGAGAGACAGAGAGACAGAGAGAGAGAGAGACAGACAGACAGACAGACAGACAGACAGACAGGAGACAGAGAGAGAGAGACAGAGAGAGACAGAGACAAAGACAGACAGGGTCCCACCATGCAGTTCAGGCTGACCTGGAACTCACTTTGTAGCGCAGGCTGGCCTCAAACTTACAGCAACCCTCCTGCCTTAGGCACCCAAATGCTGGGATTGCAGGTTTCCCCAACACACCCAGCTTGCCTTAAAACTGGTTACCATGCTAGAGCTTGATGTATGACAAATGCCAATATTTTAAAAAAATAAGCAAATTATTTTCAAAAAGATGAGGTCAGTTAAGAAAGGCAAGTTTGATTTTAAACTACCTAATATTGAGGGGATAGAATCAAGTTCTTAGAAAAAAATGGAAAAATGATAACCTGTTTCAACAATGAAGTCTGGTAAACAATTTTTTACTGTCTTTTCTCTCCTAAAAAGAGAACTGAAACAATGTGTTTCTTTTAGATTAAAATATTTTCCTGCAAGTTGTAAATAAACTGTGGACATTACATGCGCAGTTGTTTGCTAAACGGCATTATTGTTTTAGGTGACGGTATCTGTGATTACCTGGTCTAGGAATATTCTTGCCAGCGGAGCGCAGTCAGTGGTTCTGATGAACCGCACCACATCTGCCACACTCCATTTCAGAGGGTTACTGTCCAGATGAAGTCTTTCAGCAACTTCAATCCTTATTTCCTTCATTCCCAACAAAACCAGACCAAATGATGTAAGAGCTATTTTACTCTTTCAAAACAAGTCTATTTAAATTTATAATCCTTCAACCCAAAATCTAAAGTGATCTTACGACATGACTTCTCCCAGCAAACATGGTAAAGTCCCACAGGCATTAGTATAGTACTTGAGAAAATTATAATACAAATTTTATTTATTTTGAGATAAGGTCTCACTGTGTAGTCCAGACTGGACTTGAACTCTTTGTGTACCCAGGCTGGCCTCAAACTACAGTGATCCTCCCTCCATTTAGCCTAGGATTACAGGCATGTGTCAGCACACCAGTGGAACAAATTTTATTTTAAATTGACTTTTACAACACAAAATACCACTAAAGAAGAGTTCATTACCAAGTTTCAGTAAAATAATTTAGATAATTTAACAGAGAAAAGCATGTTTTGTTTTGTTTTGAAGAGAGGGTATCACTATGTAATTCAAACTAGCCTTTAACTTGTGATGATCCTTGTGGCTCAGCCTCCTGAGTGCTGAGACTATAGGCATGTGTCACCAGGCCTGACAAAAAGATTAACAATAACTTTTAAACCTCCTAGTTGTTCCTTGCATATTGTGCCTCATAGCTCAGTGGCACAAGTGCCTGCCTGGCAAGTACAAGGTTGTGAGTTCAATCCCTGGTACCAAACAAACAAACCAAAAGCATGCATATTATAAAAGTATTTTCCCTATAATAAATGGCAGACTACAAATAAACTAGCAATATCATCACTACCTTTTTAAGAGAGACTCTAGAAATTCTTTGGAAGAAATGGAATACCAGATCATAGAGGAAAACAACAGAAAGCAGGCAGTGAGGAGGACAGATAGACACTTTTTAAAAGGGTACCTTTGGTGAAGGAGGTTTATTTTCGTCATCAGAAAATGACAAAGTGTGAAGCTCCCTTTTCCTCCTTTCTCTGTCTGGGAGCTGTGAGGAAGACATCTCACTTTGGGTAGGAGAGGAGGAACATGACTTTTTCTCTGACATTTCTGACTCTTCCTGTAACTCATCCTGCTGCTCGGACGTACTGCCCTCACTCAGAGAATCATCGTCCCCTTCATCTACATCATCTTCGTCTTCAACCCCACTTCCCTAGAGGAAAAGGAGGCAAGTGTCCTTAAAATTCAGGACAAATCAGTTACTGGACTACAAAACCATCATCTATTGGCCAAAGAACTGATTTAGAGAGACCAGCAGGTCTTCTGCATGTGGCCTTATCGTAAGCCAGTGGTCACTTGGCTCCTACGCATGACAGATGCATCACAGATCTCCTACCTGAGGGGAACCCACTGGAGTATTGTCAACGGATGTAGAGGAGCGTTTCTTCTTATGAACAAACACATTTTTCCGCCTCTTTCTTCTCTTATTGGCTTTTTTCAGCGCACAAGCTAAGTTACTATGCCCACCAGGTGGCCTCCCAATTCTTTTGTTTTTCTTCTTTCCATAGTAGTGGGCTAAATGTGGATGACAAAGACAAATCAAGTAGTTTCATTATTGTTGCATATGTTAGAACTGCAAGAGATTCGACTAGCACAGCAAAAAACAGGAATATTGTATTTGAAGTTTAAATGATACATATGGTACAATAAGCAGAAAAGTGTACAATTTGATTAGTACTGACAAATGCATAAACCTGAATAAGCCTCCTCCAATGGATCTCTATCAACAGAGAAAGTTCTGAGGATCCCTTTCAGGAGCACCACTATTCTAATTTCCAACACTGTAGATCAATTTTGTATCTGTGGATCACAGAGTAGGTACTTTTTTGTAAATGACTTTCACAGTATGTTTTTGAGTCATCTATCCTGTCATACACAAGAGCAATTCATTCCTTTGTGTTAGCAACTAGCATTCCATCATATGAACATACCAGTTTATCTATTTTTCCTGTTAAGCATCGAGACTATTTCACTTTTAATACAATTAATTTAATTACAATGAATATTCTTATTTAAGGCTTTTAATGGGTATGTTTCATTGCCTTGAGTAAGTGCCTAGTAATGGAATTGCTGTATGATAAGGTAGATGTAGGTTTAACTTTTAAAGAAACTGCCAACTTTCCTAACTGGATGTATAAATTCACATGCCCACCAGCAATGTATGACATCAAGTTGTTCCCTATCTGTGCCAACCATTATTAGTAATGTTGGTCTCTTCCATTTTAGCCAATCTAGTGGGTGTATTTGGTTATTTTTCACTGTGCTTTTTTTGTCCAGTTTTTGAAAAGTACATTTTTACTGTTAATTGGCACATAACAATTACACATATTTATGGGATTCAATGTGACATTTCAATGTATGTATATAATGTGTAATGGTCAGATACAGGTAAAAGATCTACATTCATCAACTTAAACTGTTATCTCAATCACTTACCATTTCTTTTTTGTTGGGAATATTCCAAATCCTCTCTAGTATCTATTTTGAAATATATGAATAGTTTATAAAACAATTAGATATTATCTCTTCTATCAAACTGCACTCTTGTACCCATTAACAATCCTTTCTTCATTCACCCTCCCAGGCTCTGAGAACCACTCTTCTATTTTTATTTTTATACCAAGACTTGTATTTTATTTTCTATGTTTATAAGATCAACTTTACCTTCCACATATGAGAACATGTAGCATTCACTTTTCTGTGCTTGACTTACTTCACTTATCCTAATGTCCTCTAGCTCCATCCATGTTCTTACAAATCTCACTGCAGTGTTGTATTCCCCTAATCATTAATGATTCTGTGCAGTTTTCATGTGCTTATTGGACATTTGTATATGAAATGTATGTGAAAGTTTTTTTTTCATTGTTTTGAAACTGTTTTGTTTATCTTTTATGGTGCTGAAGATAAAATCTAGTCTCTCTTGGGTTAGGGTTAGGGCTAGGCAAACTCCCTGTTTCTCATGAGCTACACCTCAAATACTTTTTAAAAAAATTTTTATTGAAATCATAGTTCGTATAAAACTTACCAGTTTAAAGTATACAATTCAATGGTTTATGCTTGCAGTCTTTACCACTATCTAATTCCAAAACATACAGCTTCTTTAATTTTAATTTAGTTGAAACTCACATAGCATAAAATCAACCATTTTAAAGTGTACAATTTAGAGATATTTAGTATATTCAAAATAGTGTGAAGCCATTATTGCTGGCATATCTTAAAACTTCCCTTTTTGTTATTGAGTAGGGGAATTCTTAATACACTCTGGAGATAAGCTCTTTACTAGATACATGTATTAAAAATAATTTCTTCACATACTGTGGCTTTCGTTTCTATTTTTTTAAATGGTATTATCCAAAGAGCACAAGTTTTTAATTTTCATATTTCACTATATGGCTTATATGCAGATGTGCCCCCAAAGCCTCACATGGTCATAGGAAGTTTTGAAAGTGGTTGGTTTGGGGCTGGGGATTTAGCTCTGAGGCATAAGCGCCTGCCTCGCAAGTGTGTGGTCGTGAGTTCAATCCTTAGTACCGATGGAAAAAAAAAAAAAGTGGTTGGTTTAGAGTGTGGTACTTGGTTAAGTGTGGTTTGCTGGAATTCAGGGGCTGGATAAAGGAAGGCCCCACCTCAAAGGCTGCTGGCCTGTATGAGATAAAAGGGGGAGGCAGGCTTGCTGTTGCTACAGCCTTGTTGTCTCCAGTCTGTTGTTTCGCTGTTTCCTGCCTGCTTGCCACCGACTTTCTCTTTGTGATGCCCCTCTGCCATGGCACCCTACCCTGGAGCCAGCCAATAATGGGCTAAAGCCTCTACAACTGTGAGCTGAAATAAACCTTTCCTCCTTTAACTCTGGATGTTAGGCATTTTGTTTTGGCAATGAAAAAAGTAAGATATTTACTTACTAATTGCTTCCTTTCTGCTAGGTGTATTTCTAGATTCTAAGAAATCTTTGCCTACCCCGAGCACTTGAAGACATTTTCTTTGTTTCTGTCCAAAAGCTTTATAGTTTTAGTTTTCACATTAGGTCTATGACAGATACTAATTTTTGTATATGACATGAGATATGAGTCAAGTAGTTTTGTTTTTGCTTTTACTATTTGAGAATTCAGTTGTACCAGTAACATTTGTTAAAAAGAACTTCCCTTCCTCACTAATTGTTGCTCCTGTAAATCACTTGACTATATATAAATTGGCTCTACTTCTGGACCTTCTATTCTGTCCCAATACTTTTACTACTCTTTAATAAGTTTGTGATGGGGCCATAATTTGTATGTCTGGCTGCCGGGCAGCTCTATACAACCAGTGGTATATGTGTCAGTACCCCACTGGGCAGCATAGGACAGTCCCATTAGGTTGTGTACACTGCCTAATTGTGCAGTCATTTATGTACCACCAGTGGTTTGAGCCAGTGGAATGTGTTAATACCGAGTTCTACTGATTACTAGCTTTATGATTTTTTAAAAAAGAAGGCAGCAGAGAGCAGAGTAAAAGTTCTTCAACTTTATTCTTTTCCAGAAATATTTTAAGCATTCTAGATTCTTTGCATTTCCACTTAAATTTTAGAACATAAAGACAATTCAATAATGAAATATATTCTAGTTCTAGGTTATGTATTAAGGCAATATCAAATTCTAATGTAAATTTCTGCAAAAATGAATTCCTAATAATACAAATCCATTGGAGATCACACTCAAATTACTAATTAGGAGAAATAGGATTATTTTAAAGCCTAGGGTAATTTCAACTTATCATTGCAAAATAAAGTTCATATATCTTCCCAGTGTTTCTCTATTTTATATATGTAATATTATTCATATATTTATATGAATGTTTTCCACTTAGCTCCTAATAACTGCAGTTTCCTAAATGAAGGGTTGATAATAATGAACTAAAATAATCTCTGCCTTTAAGGAGTTTACAATTCAATAATTACAAACAGAAACTACTAGGAGGTTAGACTTTTACATGCATTTGTAATTCAAATTCTGATTAGAAAGTCTGCCATGCCGAATAGATCAGCATCATCAGCTGCATTAAGGAACTGCTGGAAACCTGATTAATCAGAATGTGCATTTAAACAAGACGCTCAAGTGATCTGCAAGAACTATATAATTTAAGAGTCACAGATTCCTAAAAGAATTATTTCAATCTGACTCAGTAAAGTCCTCCCTTCTGTTAGTTTTTCCAAGTGACACCAGGGTTTATATTAGTTAAGGAAATGCAGGATAAGAATTTTGTTTTTGGGTGATAATGCCCTGATGAGAATCCACATTGTGAGTTTCACCCCACATGACTCTTGCCCCAGTTTCACAAAGATGACGACCAGCAGGAGGGAGGACAGTTCAGAGCTAACACTGCACTTACCTCTTCTTTGGGTACTTACATCTCCCAACCACCAGGGCTTCTTTTTTGCTCTTCACAGACACTGAGCAAGCTCCTGAAAACCCTGTGGCCTTGTTGTTCCCTTTACCAACTCACATGCACAGCAGTCAGAAGACTCCATGGCCACCTGTGCCCGGCCTTCCTATTCAGTTTTGTGCCTCATCTTGCTTCATCTCCCCTGCCTCATACTTGTCTCGACATCTGCTTGCTTCCATCCCACATTAAATGAGAACTTAGGGAGGATAGGAATTTTATTTTAATTATTATTAGTTTTGGTACCAGGAATCAAACTCACGACCTTGCGCTTGCCAGGCAGGCACTTATACCACTGAGCTAAATTCCTGGCTTTATTTTATTATAATATCCCAGGCCTATGACAGTGGCAGCACACATTCGGCACACACAGCTCACAAGCGTATGAATACATTTTATACTTATTAGATGTATCAGCTAATTCATATACATGTCATATAAAAGATGGCAAACTAGGACTCAAAGCCTGTTTTAGTATAGTCCTACAGCTAAAAATGGTTCTTTTACTTCAAAGAGAGTTCTTTACCACAAAACAAAAAACAATGTGTGACAGAGATCATAGAACTGGCAACATAAAGTATTTATTAATTGACCCTTTACAGAAAGTTTGTGTACTTCTGCTATATATAAATGTATGCAAAATAAAAATATTTTTCCAGTATATGTGGTATAAGCTTCCATGGTTAACACACTTGAAAAACATAACTCACTGTATTTGGTCTTTGTAAGTACAGAGCAGTTCTCAGAACATGTATCCAGAACCATCCGTGGACCAAAAAGGTTAGGACAGCATTCCAGTTTGATACAAGTTTGCCGGCAGAATTCAGTCACCCGATCTGCTGTCTTCACTATTTCCACAGTAGCCCGATAACTCTTTCCTTTATATCTGTCATTGGAAAACATTGGATGCCAAGTTTATTGAGCCAGTGACTACCCAGAGAAAAATCGAATGTATTAATATAACTGAAAAATACTTTTGCTTCTTAGAGTACTGTGTCCTTCATAGTTTATTGACTTCGAGAACAATTAGAACGTTCTGTGACTTACACTAAAACATGATAAACAATGACAATGAAAAGCTATTACTTAAATAATCAAAATAAAGTTCCAATGTTCTATTTTTAGGTGAAGGTTTTCAAGCAATATTTTTACTTACTATTATAAAAAGGATAGGAGCTTTTCATTAAATCTTTCTTTACCCTTGCAGTGATTCTCATGGTGTGGCTCAAGGATGTGGTATGATCTGCCAACTACCATCATCCATCCATGAAGAAAGTCAGGTCAGAAAATAACAGCAAATGTTTATAAACGTTCACAAGAATTTGAAAAAATAGTTTTACATCTTCTGAATCTAATAAAAAATTGTTCTTGCATTTCTTTTAAATTTTGTATTGCTTATACTCCATTTTTACCATATGTTATAAACTTATTGACGGAAACCAACAGAAAAAACAAGCCGAAATCCTTTGCCACAAAGAGCTAAAGCAGCACTACCACAGGAAACAAGCACTCTATTATTCACAGAAGTGACGTGTGACCGAATAAAGACAAACAATAGTAAAGGGTCGAAGAATCTACTCACTTGGCTTTTAGTACTTCCCCACAACTGTGCCACACAGAGTCTTTGTCCAGCTGGAGCTCCCGAAGAACACGACTGGGCTTATAAGCCGCATTGATGAGTAAAGTGAGGACCTAAGTTCAGTTTTAAGGAATATGGATTGGGAAGGAGAAAAATAGACCATCAGAAGCGTGACACTTTCCTTACTCTGCAGAGTACTAATGCCATTTTGGAAATTAATTCTTTCTTACTAATTAAAAATGTCAACAAAACAATATTACCTAAAATATGACAGTTGCCATAGTTGCACATAAAGAACAACTGACCTTCAAAATGTTACGATCAGTAAAAAACAGGCGCCATCAATTTCGATTTACTGTCACTTGCTTCCAAATGCTTTCCCAACCATGGTACACACAGAAAATTACCATATATGTGTTTGTGACATTGTGCAGACAGTTGAACATTCTTGTGGCTAAAAGAGTTTGTCCCAGAAGCTTTTTGTTAGGCCCTGCCTTGTCACACCCTGAGGGCTGAAAGGTTCTACAAGTCCTCACATCTATTATCCATGGTACACAGTACACTAGATCGAAGTATGAAAGTCCAGCAGATTCACTGCTTTATCATGGCTCTCAGTTAATGCCATGCAGCTTCTAAGTCATAGCCTAATCTCACAGTTCACTCTTTTGTAGAGAGGGCTGGCCTTGAACTCACAGTGATCCACCTGCCCCAGCCTCCTGAGTGCCGCGATTACAGGCATGTGCTACCATGCCCAGTTCTCACAGTTCACTCTTGCACTGTTCTCATGTGTCTCTGACAGAAACGAGGCTGCTCTGTGAAGAGCTACTTACATAAATGTTCTAGTTACTTATGGTCAAAAACATTAAATGGAAAATTCCAGAATTAAATGAGTCTTCAACTATAACTTTAAATTATACACTGCTCAGAGCAGCATGAAGAAATCTTGTGCCACTCTGCCTGGGACATGAATCATCCCTTGTCCAGCGAACCCCCAGTGTACATGCTCTTATCTGCTTGTCTGTAGCTTATGGTTTATCAGATCAACTATGTAAATGCTGTGTTGCTTGCATTCACCCAACACTTAGTGAGCCCAACACTGCTTCATGGTGCAGACACCATTCATCTCACTTCACCTCAATCTGTATGCACTGCATCATCTTATACCACCACAATTACAGTAGCAAACACAGCATGAGACACAGGTCACATTTATGTAGCTTTTACTGTAGTGTTTTGTTATCATTGGTCTGGTTTTACTTACTGTTGTTGTTAATATCTTACTGTATCTCATTTGCAAGTTAAACTTTATCACAGATGGTATAGCTTAAGTGTCTCCCATGTGTCAGGAGCTTGGCTCTGGCGTGGTAGCTATGGGAGGTGATGAGGTGATGGGGCCTATGGGGTGATCCTAAGGCCACCTGGGGGACATCCTTGGAAGGACTGGTGGACGCCAGTGTCTCTCTAACTTCTAGTTTGGTTAAGCAGCCTGCCTCAAAAAATGGATTAATATGATAGTTATGTGTATATATAAATTTTAAAAAACATACTATGTAAGCTTTGGCACCACCCACTTTTCAGGCATCTATTAAGGTCTTACCATGGTGACAGTGAACCTTTTAGAGCATTCAATGACAACAAGCAGCCAGCCACGGCACCTGTGCCGTAAGTTTACTACCACTGTGATAGACCATGGCGGACTACTGTACACGAGAAAAGCTAGTAACTTGATAGCGCCTAAAGCATATGGCAAGTGGCTCCCCAGATGAGTAAGCTTAGGAGACTGCTAAGAAGTTCGTTTGATCTAGGCCAAACCTTACCTCTCTGAGGACAAGAACACAGTTCCCAGGTCCTACACATTGAGGGAGCTCAGCAATTCTTCCTTTGTTAAGATATGGCCCTGAGAAGCAGCGGTGGTTGAAATATATCTTTGGACAACAATACTTTCCATTAATTGTAACTGGGAAATTAAGAAAAAAATATTAGGAACTGTCATTCTCCTCCCCATATTTAGAAAGCTGAATTACTAGGGTGAAAAGTTCAAGCATATACATCATTGGGTGAGGTGTTTTTTTTGTTTTTTTTTGTCTTTTTCCTTTTTATCGGTACCGGGGATCGAACTCACGACTGCCTGCTCTCAAGGCAGGTGCTTATGCCGCTGAGCTAAACCTCCAGCCCCCATTGGGTGAGTTTTATAAATTACTTTTTTTTGTGTGTGAGCTAGGGATTGAAACCAAGGGTTCGTGCATACTACGTAGGTGGTCTACTGATCTGTACTATCAGGCCCAGAATTACATATCTAAAGGTTAACAAATTATCTGAGGATGACCTTGAAACACTGTATACCTAGAAGTTTATGCTTACCTCATTCTAGACCACAGAGTTTATCACTATGCTAAAATAAATATCCTGAATTACATGCTGATTTCCTGGAATTATGTGACACTGATGTAGAGTCAATCTGCTACTTCTATCAATAAAGAAAATAGAGAATCCACTTCACGAACCATGATGACCCTGACAGTAAAACATTTCCAGTTCTTTAAAAAACAACTACTCAATAATCTATTTTGGAATACTTGTAAGGATTCACAACGAATGTTATCCAGAATCACATTTTGTCTCCTAAAATCCACCAACTACATACACTGACCCTTGAGCTAGAACTGCCCTCAATAGGAGAGACGTTTTGCTCAAGGTTCCATTCCTTGTGAGGTGGGGTGGGACCTATAGCTTACTTCTAATAAACAACCACCACGCCTGGATTTCAGATACTTTCTGTAGTGGTATCAGCTCCAAGACTGCCTTGGGACTAAAAGCAACTTCTGTTCCAAGTGTATTGCACTTTGGTTCACCTCTTGGTATAATCCTGCTCCTTTATTCCTGCATCCTTACTCCTTCCAGGAGCTGTTTCCAAAACCCAAATCAAACTGCCAAGGATGTAATCATAAAGGAGATATTAATGTCTTAACTCTACAGTTTAATTCTATAGTTTCAGTAGGCCATCAGTGCATCAAAAATAACAAATTAACACAGTTCTGGGGGCTGGGGATTTAGCTCAGCGGCATAAGTGCCTGCCTTGCAAGCAGGCAGTCGTGAGTTCGATCCCTGGTACCAATAAAAATGGGAAAGACAAAAAAAAAAAAAAACATAGTTCTGATCCTCTACGTACAAACAATATAGTGAAATGGTAGAGGAGTAGAAGAGACAAAAATTTTGAACATTTGAGTTCCATTTCTCACCCCACCACTAAACAGCTCTCTGAGTACTGGTTTGTTTTCTAGGCATTTACTAAATACCACCTAAAGACCCAATCTGTACTAGAATACACAAGGCCTAGAAGCTCAGCATTATACAGCTAGCACAGGGTTAGTCAAGAGTTGTATTAAAAGATTCTGGACAAAACCTGAACCTCTAGGTTCATCTCGTTTATTAGTCACTGCTTCTGGGACAATCAAATAAATCCAGTGTTTTATTTTTTAATTGTGAAATTTATATATGTCATCAAAAGTGTTTAAAAAGAATAAGCCTCTGCACTCAAGCTCCTAGCTTAAGAAAGAGCACTCTCCCTGGAAAGCCTCAGGTTCCTTCATCTAAAGTGGGTGACAGTAACATTGACCTCTACAGCCCTTCATACACAACAAATGATCAGTAAAGAATAGCTACAATTACAACTTGGCAGAAATATTAACATACAGACAACTATAAAATGAAGCGCATCTTGCCTTGTTCCACACAAGGCACAATCAGGCAACTCTTTTCTGAATGTACATTCTATAAATAAAATGTCAAATACTGCCCATTAGAAGAAACTAAGGGTCCTCTTTTCTGTAAAATCACAAATGCTTATACCTGAGTCTGTAGAGTTCAGCTCTTGACTCTTTAAGCCCTGATGGACAGTCCTCGAGGATGGTATTCTGGGTTAAGAAAACATAGCTAAAATAGTGAGATCATCCTTAAGATCAGCACAGCATGAGTGTTAGTTTCCTCCAAATATAAGAAAAAAGCTAATACAGCAGGTTGCAAAATCTGCAATAGAAGGACTTTCATCACACCTTGTTTTAAATATGCAATTGCTTCTAAACTTATGTACAGAGTCTAATGAGCCAATGGACTATCTGTAGATGATGTGATATTGCATGGTTCAGATGAATTTTCCTTTTAGTAATACGTGTGCAAGAAATTAGAAATTATGAGATTCTTAACTTTTTTTTTAATTTTTGGAGACAGGGTTTTGCTACGTAACCCAAGCTGGCCTCAAACTTGTGATTCTTCTGTCTCAGTGTCCAAAATGCTGAGATTACAGGCCTACACCAAATATGCCCAGCTTCTTGTAGAATTTTTAAAGCACAAGTAAATTATTTTTTGCAATAGTCATGTAACAAACATTTCATATACGTGTCTTCCACTTATTTCAAAATTGTTTTAAAATTATGTTTTAAAAGAAAAACCCAGACTTATTCTACAAGTAGCAATTCCTTTTTTTTTGTCTTTTTCTTTTTTATGGGTACCAGAGATCGAACTCACAACCGCACACTTGCAAGGCAGGCGCTTATGCCGCTGAGCTAAATCCCCAGCCCCAAGTAGCAATTCCTAAACAGGGCTAATTCACTTTTAAAGAACACTTTCTGACTAAAGCTTTGGACTAGTCTCCGCAAAGTCAAAGAAACATCCAAGGGCAGCTTTTGGTCATCATTATCTTACTTTTTTTTTTTTTTTGTCGTTTTCGTTTTTACCGGAACCGGGGATCGAACTCATGACTGCCTGCTTGCAAGGCAGGCACTTATGCCACTGAGCTAAATCCCCAGCTCCATTATCTTACTTTTATAACTAGAGTAAATTTCTACCATAACCATATAGAGAGATAATCTAAATTAAATGAGGTCATAATGATAGGGTTGTAATCTGATAGGCATGGTGGCCTTATAAGAGGAGGGCAGAGAAGATGCCCTCAAAGACAAGAAAAAGAACAGAGAAAGAGACAGACAGACAGACAAAGATGGAAGGGAAGGATGGGGGTAGGGAGAAAAGAAGAGGGAGGAGAGGAGATGAGGGAGAGAAATGGGGGTGGGGAGAAGAGGTAGAGAGAGACCTATTTTTTTTTTTTTAAATTGGTACCAGGGATTGAACTCATGACCACCTGCTTGCAAGGCAGGTGCTTATGCCGCTGAGCTAAATCCCCAGCCCCTAGAGACCTATTTTTAACATGTGAAGACTCAGCCAAAAGGTAGCCATAAACAAGCCAGGAAGAGAGCCCTGATCAGGAACCAACCCAGATGACGTCTTGATCCTGGACTCTTAAGCCTTCAGAAAATAAATTTCTGGGGGGCTGGGGGTTTAGCTCAGAGGCATAAACGCCTGCCTTGCTAGCAGGCAGTCGTGAGTTCAATCCCCAGTACTGATAAAAAGGCAAAACACACACACAAAAAAGAAGAAAATAAATTTCTGAGATTCTAGCCACCTGGTCTGCAATATTTTGTTATGTCAGACTAACAAAGAATTTGAAACCCACTGGTCACACACACACACACACACACACACACACACACACACACACACAGAGAGAAACTTTTGTATGGTGAGATTCAAAGGGACCACCAATTAACTTTTGGTTTTTAAAAATCATGAGTGAAGATGCTACAAAGAATTTCCTAATTTAAGTGTCTTTTCTTTTGGAGTTGCTTCTTCTAACTCAAGACAGGTATTATAACTATTTCCATATTTACAATTTTTGTCCTTCCTTCACAAATACTAGCAAGGGGTCTTAATTTCTTTTATTCAAATGACTTCAGGCTCTAAAAGCCCTTGGAAGATATTTTGAGAATGTAGTTTATCCTTTTTATATAACACCTTTTAAGAAAATACATATATTGTATCAAGATGTACATAAAATTATCAAATTGAATTAAAAGATTATGCTTCCACCTGAGAAAATAACTCAAGAGAAGATATAGTCTGATATGTTTATTCTTCTTTTAGACTGCCTAACTTTCAAATTTCAACTATTCAGACATCGTATTATACTTACTGTTTTTCTGGTTGAACCACTGCAATCTTCCTCTGTTTATGTACTGTAAAAAAAAAAAAAAAAGAAAATGTCAAGAAAAATAAAAAAGATAAAGGAAAAGTTATATATGTATTAAGCTTATTGTGACTTATTTAAAACTTGGTTTCTGCTGGGCTGGAGGTTTAGCTCAGCAGGCGTAAGAGCCTGCCTGGCAAGTATGAGGTCATTCAGTTCAATCCCTGGTACTAAAAAAAAAAAAAAAAAAAGTTCAAAACTTGGTTTAACTATTAAATATGGTAAATTGGTATTTATATGTCTGAATATTTGAGGGACACTTTCTAGAGAGAAGGTTTTACACAAGGAGCAAAAACAGTATTTTCAAAGCTCTCTAGGTCAATGAATTCCTAAAGAAATTTCCAAGCAAAACCTGATATTCAAAAGAAATACTAATTTCATTCAATAGGGAAGAGCAGTATTCAGTAGATCATGATGGGGACCTGGACATCTACATATAAGTAGTCACACTCAAAGCTGGGTGTGGTGACACACTCTTATAATCCCAGCACTCAGGCAGCTGAGCTGCAAGCTTGAGACCAGCCTGGGATACAAAGTGAGCCCAAGGCCAGCCTGAACTGTATAGTGAGACCAGGTCTCAAAGACAAAAAGGAAGTTACACTCTTACCTGGCATCATTTATAAAAATTAATTCAAAACAGATCAAACATCCAAATATAAGATATAAAACTATAAAACTCTTACAGAACAATACACACAAAAATCGTCAGGACATTAAATCTGTAAATGATTTTTAAAATGTGATACTAAGAGAAAAAAATAAATGTTAAATGAGACTAAATCAAAATTTAAAATTTGTGCATAAAAAATTAAATCTTGTACAAAGCAGGAGAGTGAAAAGGCAATGAAATAGGAGAAAATATTTCCAAGTCAATATCTAGACTAGAGCAAAGAAGTCCTGTAAGTAATTAAAAGATAAATAATCTGGTTTTAAACTGGACAAAAATGTAGCTAAGTTATTTGATTTTTGACAAAGTGGCCAAAACGTATATTGGAGCTAGGAACAAATGGTGCTAGGAAAATTGGGTATTAAATGCAGAACCTGTTACTTATCCTGAACAAAAATCAACTAAAAAAAAAAATTAAGTCAAGTATGGTGGTACACGTCTGTAATCCCAGGAGGATGCTGGAGAAGGAAAATCACTGAAAGTTCGAGACCAGCCTGGGCTACATTGTGAGTTCAAGACCAATCTGAATTATAAAGTGACACTCCATTTCAAACCCCAATCTCCAATTAACTCAGCATGGATCAAAGACCTAAATATAAGATCTGAAACTCTGCAACTGCTAGAAGATACAGGGAAAACACTCCAAGATATAGGCACAAGCAGTTCTTGAAAAGGACTCCAAAAACTCAGGAAGTAGTGAGAAGTGACAAACAGTGTTCCATCATATTCAAAGCTCGACAGAAGGAAAAAATAGAGGATGAGACAGCTACAGGACTGGAGACAATCTTTGTTAGCTACTTTTCCAAAAGAGTATTAAAATGAACTCAAAAAAACTTAACACCTAAAGAAAAATAACCCAATCAAAACTGGACAAATAAACTGGACCCTTCCAAAAGAAGAAATGTAACTGGTCAATAATTATATGAAAAATTATATGAAAAGTGTCAACAGGTCTAGTTACCAGGGAAATGTGAATCAAAACCACACTGAGATTCCATCTCACCTAAGTCAAAATGGCTACAATCAAGATTAAACAAACAGATAGACAGATAAACTCTAATAAATGCAAGCCAAGATGCATCAAGAAAGAACCCTGTATACACTGTTGGTGGAAATACAGATTAATACAGCCAGTAAGAAAATCAGTAAGGATGTTCCTTCAAAAACAGTACTGTATGATCTAGATATACCACTGCTTGGTATATAAAAGGAAGGATTAAAGTCAGCATGCTACAGATAAACTCACATACCCAAATTTACTGTGGCACAATTCACAATGTCCATAATACAAAACTAGCCTCAGTGTTGGTTAATGGGTGAGCAGGTTTTAAAATGTGGTTTATATACACAATGGAGTATTATTCAGTCATAAAAAATAATAAAAGCATTTGTGGGAAAATGAATGAAACTGGAAATTACCATATTCAGCAAGATAAGCCAAACGTAGAAAAGTATAACATATTTTCCCTAATATGTAGACTCTAGGGAGGAAAAGATGACAAGAAAGTAAAAAGGGGCATGGCCTGGCTTCTTCCCATATTTATATTTTTAAAAATACATTTTATTGACTGACTACTATGAAGAGCAAATCAGAACCATGCTATGACATCAATTCACAAACACTAGGGTGATTATCAAAAACAAACAAAAATACAAAGCAAGTGTTGGGAGGATGTGCAGTAACTGGAGCCTCATACACTGCTGGCAGGGAGGTAAATGATGCAGCTGCTTCCAAAAAGAGTATGCTGGTTCCTCAAGCTACTAAACAGATAGTACCATATGACTCAGCAATACTACTCAGAATACACAAGAGAAACTAAAACATGTCTAAATAAAAAGGTTACTAGTGTTCAAAGCAGCATTATTTATAATAAAAATGGGAACAACTTGCGTGTTTATCCACCAATAATTAAACAAACATATAACAGAAAGTCATATAACAGAAAGTACTGCTGGACATTATAAGATGGATGAATTCTGAAAACATTATGCTAAATGAAAGAAGGCAGTCACAGAAGACAGACACATTCCATTGTATGATTTCATTTGTAGCAAATGTCCAGCATGATCAAATCTACAAAGGTAAAATACTAGTGGGTCCCTAGGAAGAGGGTGTTTTTAAAGGGTATGGGGTTTCTTTCAGAAATAAAGAACATGTTTTCAAATCATGGTAACAGTCAAATTGTGGTAACAGTACAACTGAGAATACACTAAAACCACTTAATTAATTAATTTTGGGGAAGTCTTTTCGATACAGGGTCTCATTATGCAGTTTAGGCTGGCCTTGAACTCACTTTATAGCCCAGGCTGGTCTCGAACTTGCAATAATCTTCCTGCTTCAGCCTCCCGAGTGCTGGGATTACAGTGGTATGTCACCATGCCCGGTAAACAACAGAATTTAAAAGCAAATTTCATGGATATAGTTATAGTTCAATAAAACTGTTTTTAAAAGAGTGGAGAAAAGCAATCACTTTCAAGATTAGATTATACAAAGACTCTAGCTTTTTCTTCTTCTTCAACCTCATGTTCTCTAATGTCTTCATTCTAATGGAAGCCAGTTGCCATCCTATGAGGTGCCCTGTGGAGAGACCCATGAGGCAGAGATCTAAGGGAAGCCTCAAGTCAACAGCTAGCAAGAAGCTGAGACCTTTGGCCCAACAGCTCAAGAAAGGCAAGTCTTTCTGCGATGGTCTGAATGTCTATGCTCTCCCAGTTTCATACTGAAACCTAATCACCAATGTATTCACAGTAGGAGATGGGGGTCTTTGGATGATGATTAGATCATAAGGGCAAGATCAGAATTAGTGCCCTTAATGAGGCCCTAGCAAGTGAGAATGTGGGGACATAGCATGGCTTTTTTTGACACCTTGCTCTTACACCGCACAGCCTCCAATAAGATATTATTTACAAGTTACTTGGTCTCTGACGTTTTGTCCCAGCAATGGACTAAGATGCCTTCCAGTCATCATTTGTGTAGAGCTGGGAGCAGATTCTTCCCAAGGTGAGCCCTGAGAGGACTCTTTCCCTGCCCGACAACTTCACTGCAACCTATGAAAGACCTGGATCCAGAGGACCTACCAAGGTACACCCAGACCCCCAGACCACAGCAACTGTAAGAAAATAAATGCTGTTGCAATAAGTAACTGTCTACGCAGGCAGAATACATTTTTTTCTCTACAACGTCCTGATTCATACTAATTGGTAGCTGCCATACGTGAGTATTTAACAATCAGCCTTCCACCCCAGAAATAAATACCTCGTGCCCGGCGAGGAGTGCTGAGGGGATGGCCATTGGTCTCACACCAGCCCAAAGGAAATATATCCATGGATTCTACGCTCACTATACATTCGGGTACAGGCTTCTTAGATCCTGTTTAAATTAAAAAAAAAAAAAGAACAAAATAAAGCACTTTTAACCCAATAAATAGCCATTAAATAGAAAGTACAGTACAGTACTTTCTAAACAATGTTCTACTGCTGCAATAATACAGATACAAGTCTGTTAAGAATATTTTTTTCATGGAAATCATACTATATCATGCATGCCAAACATTACGAAAAAGGTAAACTGTTTCTATGCATAACTTGTAAGGACAAAAATGGGTAGTGAAAATAAGGCTAAATCTCAGTAAAGAACAGCAAATAAACAACTGGTATTATTCAGATGGCTAACAATTATAGTCAGTTCCTTGAAATAATTAGATACCAAAAGGCAAAGTAATAGCTCTATTCAGTAATAACATTTGTTCTGGTACTCAAGGAGTAAGGCAGAAAGTAGAACAGTAAATTCAAACCAGAAAGTGATTAGGCCAAGTTGCTCAGAAGAGATTGCATGAGACTCTATATTTAATCCTGTCCTTCACATCTGCTTTAAATGCCAATTCTAAAAACTCAGAAGCAGTAGGTAGCTTCTCAGAATATGATTATCTGGCAGCAGGATGAAAAAGTAACCCAGGCCATACACAGTAACTGCTGTACTAAGTACTCACACGTCCTTTATTCCACAAACGTGCCTAATCGCTGAATACTAAGGTAAGTAAAATACATTAATTTCTACTTTTATACTCTCTAGTTCTGTAGGTTTCGGGCAACCCAAACATTATTTCTTCATTAAGCCTAGTATTAATGCTCACTTACTTTGGACACATAAAAATACACTCTATTTGACTTACATTCAAGAAAATAAAGGACTTGGGCCAGGGATTTAGCTCAGCAGCACAAGCACCTGCCTGGCAAGCATAAGGTCATGAGTTCGATCCCCAGTACCAAAAGAAAAGAAAAGACAAAACAAGACCAGACTCTAATACTGTTAAGTGAAATAAATAGGACACATATGTGTAAATACCACATTGTTTCTCTGGTATGAGAAACTGAAAGTGTAAATAAGAACCAAATTGTACAACAGGTACTGTGAAAGAGGAAGAAAATGTTCAAATGGGGAAGGGAACAAAAGAGGGGAGCAGGAAAGGAAAGAAAGGAAAAGTAAAAAAAAATGAGAAAAAAACACATGGAAACAAAGCTTCTGTAAATGAAGGGGGGAGGAGGGGTTGAAGAGAGAGTAGGAGAATGGGAAAAAAAAGTTATCTCATGACCACGTACAAAGTCTCTATGATGAATGTGATCATCATGTATATCTAAAATGTATCAATAAAATTTGATTAAAAAATAAAAAGGAAAATAAAGAATTCTATGATAGAGGTTATTAAAATTCATTTCCTAAAATTTGAAAGCCAAAGACAGGAAAATAATTTTTAGATTAGAACCTTGCATTTCGAATGAGAAATCCTGAAAAAGGTCACTATTTACTTGCCCATTAAGTGTAACAGGCTGCACTACAGCAGAAAGCTGGAAGAGCGACGCAGAACAGCCCTAAGAAAATTCCAGGAGAGCCTGCACTTACCTTCCAGCTGGAGCCACAGGTAGGAGCCTCTGACTGCAGTAATGGTGGCAATGCACACTTCTTCAGGGAGAAGGGGGTTCACTGCCTCCAGCTTCATGTTCTCCTTAAAATCATGTTCAGAAACTGACTAGAAAATGAATGAATCAAATCATTTTACTGAAAAGTATTTATTTCTGAATGGCCAGTTGTGAAACATGAGAAAGGATACAAGGTAATTTTCTGGAGACAATCATAATTAATGTTCTACCACACCCCACTCCCATACTGCAGATTCAATATAGAGACAATAGCACTAAGCCACATACCAATCCCTTTCTGTAATTTTAATTTTATTTTGATATGGGTCTCACTAAGTTTCTCAGGTTAGCCTCAAACTTGTGGTTCACTTGCCTCAGCCTCCTCAATACCTGGGATTAGGGCATGCACCACGTACCATGCCAGAATGTTCAGTTGCATGCATTTGTTAAAACTCAACCCATCCTAGCACTCAGGAGGCTGAGGCAGGAGGATGGTTGTTAAGTTCCAAGCCTGGGCTACAATGTGAGCTCAAGGCCAGCCTGAACTGCATAGTGAAACCCTGTCTCAAAAAAGGCAAAACAAAACAAAATAAAACAAAAAACCCCACATAAACATTTAAAAAAAAAACCCTCAAATGGTATACTAAGGAAATTCACTATATATGTTTTTTTTTTTTTTTTCTGGTACAGGGATCAAATTCACAATCTTATGCTTGCCAGGCAGGCACAGTGCCACTGAGCTATATCCCCAGCCCTAAGTTTTTGTTGTTGTTGTTCTGTTTTGTTTTTAATGAAAAACATACACACAAAAAATTATTGGATTAACCAATTAATTCATGTGTTTGGCTGGATGAACCTTTTTGCAAGTAGCATTCAATCCTGAAGTCCACTTTAAAGCTAGAATTTATTTTGCTTTTTTTTTTTTTTGTCTCTCAAGGAAGCAAAGGGGCTAACTTATTATAGACAGCATGATCTTTAGGTATGTTTCCTGGATATTGCTACACGCATGATGATCCTGCTCAAACTGTGTAATTTTTTTCCCTCAGTTTCTTCTTTTGTCAGAGGAAATTAAGCAGTAGGTTGTCACAAAGTATCAATGAAATAAGGCACTTAAGACTCTATGTCTTGAACCAAATGGTTTTCAACCACTGTTAGTTCACTTCCTCTTCCTGAAAAGGCTCTATCATGAGTGAACTCCCTGGCTCATACGTGTATGTGTACTCATAATAGGCGGAAAGGATTAAAAAAAAGCTTACAAATGGGAAGAGGTCATTTAAATCAGGTTTTTAAGAACTGCAGCTTCCAGGTCAAGACCAACAACTGAGTATCACCATTCCACAGTTCTCCTTTCTGATAATTCACTAAAAGTTAGGTTTTGCTTGTTTGTTTGGGTTTTTTTTCAAGATATAATCCTTATGGAATGGATATAACAGGAGAGGAAACATTTTATAAGCCAAAATTCAGAATAGGGTATTTTAACTAAGTATAGCAAAGAAAGGTAAATCTCAGTTGGTAATGAAGAAAGCTAACATGTCAGAAATGAGTATTAGACAATTGAAGGTAGAGGAGAAAAGGAACAAGAACAATTTGTTGGAAACATTCAAGAAGGATTTAGGTCACGCCACTGGTGGCTCCTCTACTCCATCTCCAGGGCACCTATCTTCCCTTCCCCTAAGAGAGGTTCGATTTATCGACTCCTAGGCAGGAGGACACAAGGAACTGTTAAGGGCATGCATGGAATGCTAGGGCCTGGCCCGAGCCGAACTATCAGGCAAAGGCTAGAAGGGACTTCTTGTGGTATATGGTTAGATCCACTGGGTCAACACCTAAAAATTTTAAATTCCAGAAAGAGACAAGAGTGAAAACAAAAGAAAGGAAATGAAACACGTGACTCAAGAAAATTTCCCCATACCGAAAGCCTTGATTGCTCGGACATAAAGTGCCCGTATCAAGGCGCATTATTGTGACAAGAGATAACAGATTCTATAACCTTCTGATGACCTTCAGGTCATCTACAAAAGATCAAGACTAAGAACAGCTTTTAGCTTCTCAGCAGCAATACTAGAAGTCAGAAAGCAACTGAGTCATGTTGTCAAAAATCTAAGGTAAAATAACTTCCAACCTAAAACCCCTTAAGCCAAACCTTGAATCACGTTAGTCGACATCTTCAAACATATCCTAATTTATGTCTTTGTACCACTTTAGGAAAATACTGAGGGCCGTGGATCATGACAATGACACGTGCTCACAGATGCGCAGACACACAAAGCACACCGGGCGCACGAAAGGTGCTGTAGTAAACACTCACCCATAATGCTGCTATGGTTATTTTCGAAGCAAGAAACTCAACTTAGTCACCTCAGTTTCCCCTAGACCAAACCACCTGCTGGGAATTCTGCGCTCCGCACAGGAAGAAGGCCGGCTGACACAGGGTCACTCTGCATCAGAAGGGAAAGGCTGCCCACTTGAGTACACGGCTGTGGGTGGCAGGGAGACCACAGGGTATGGCTGGGAGACTGGGAGCCCTCAGGACACTAAGCCTGGGTCACTGCCCTGCAAGTCCAGGGCGACCTGGCTCTGGGAGGGGCATGGCCAGAGTAGGGGTGAGCAGCTGAGATCCAGACTCCAAGGGAAGAAAGGTGGGCTAGAGAGCAGAACCAGGCTCCTCGGCTATGTGGTACGCAACAGTGTCTTTTGAGTGTCACTTCCCTGTCTGTGAAATTGGAGAGTTGCCTTCTTTCCCAGCCAGCTTCGTGTCCCCTCCTTTCTCTTCCCAGTCTCCATCTTACAGCCCCAGGCCCTTTGTACAAGCCACTGTCTGCAGAACCTCTCCTTTCCACAGCTCCACACACAGCCCATCAAAACAAGGAAGTAAACTGAGAATGGAGAGGTCCTATAAAATACTACAAAACTGCAGACTTCAAATCAGAGAAAATGAAGACAGGGCAATTCCTTGAGTGAAGGGCAGTTCCCCAATTATAACCACAGGACAAGTCCAAAGAACCTCTCGAGAAAGAAAAAGTAGTAATCCATTAAGAGAGATGACTAAGAAAGATTTTAGAAATGAGGGATTTCCTGACACAAGAGACTACTGGAAGATGTAGTAACAGATACAAAGGAAAATTAACTATATGAAAAAGCAATTGCTAACAATGTTTTAAAACATTGTTTTAAAAACAAAATTTTAAAAAATCATAAAATACTGCAAGTGTCAGTTGTAAATGTTTGAATGACTAAACTGAGCAAAACTGGGATTTAGCCAAAAACTGAAATACAGTTCTAACAGGAAGAAGATGTAAGGCAACAGGGGAGGCAGTATAAAGTAGCGAACTGCTCATTTATGGTAACACAATCAACAGTGGTGTCTTAAAACTAACACCTCAAGAGATGGCAACATTATTTTGACAATAAAGTTTAAATGCCAAATTTCATATTCCTGATGAGAAAAGGAAGTGGCAGTCAAGCCTGGTGGTGCACTTGGGAGGCTGAAACAGGCGGATCACTGTGATTTTGTGGCCAACCTGGGCTACCTAATGTAGCTACCTATGTGAGCTCAAGGTCAGTCTGTACTACCTAATGAGACTCTCTCTCCAGGGAGAGGGGAAGAATGGGAAGGAAGGCAGAGGAAAGTCATAGGACAGAGGCTGTGTTTCTACATTCTAAGCTTTTTACTGCTATGTGGTTTTTTAAAACACATGGAAGCATCATTTGGAGAGAAGTATTTTTAAATAAGATTAGCAATTTTTTCCATTTAATATTTCAACATTTTTTCATATGACAATATTAAGCCATCAAATTATGAAACAAAATCTCAAACTCACATGATTTCAGTTATTGCAAAAAACAGAACTGCTAAATCTTTTTTTTTTTTTTTGTCTTTTTGAGACAGGGTCTCTTTATGCAGTTCAGGCTGGCCTTGAGCTCACTTTGTAGCCCAGGCTGGTCTCACACTTGCAATGATCCTCCTGCCTCAGCCTTCCGAGTGCTGGGATTACAGGTGTGAGCCGCAACGCCCAGCCAGAACTGTTAAAACTCATAAAACTAAACTGATTAGAAAATTAATCTGTAGTAAATGTCTTCTTCTTTGGGCCATTTTATTACAATTGGTAGAACGGCCATGTGGGTTGTGTGAGATGATTAACTCCAGAGCTAACAGTCATGAAGAGCCAGGCAAGCACAGCAGTCCCTACAGCTCCTACTTGAGGATGTGGGGGTCTCACCAGAGGGAAGCACCGCTGGGGAGCAGCTTCAGCGCCGCACTGTTTGAGGTAGTCGGCCCAGTCGAAGTCCTGGCTCGGGTACCCTGTGCAGTGGAGACAGAGAGTGAGTGTTCCGCATCACACGTGCTCATCTGGCTCTGCTGCTCTGTAGGTGCACACCCACAATCCCCAAAAGTTGGTGATTTTATAGAGGGGAGAGACATTCCACACATCCAAGGCACAGCTGTTACTATTCTCAATTCTGAGAAACTGAAGCTGAGGGTACTCTATCCCCGAGATACATTCCTATTCTTCTTTTTTTTTTTTTTTTTTGGTTGGAGACAGGGTCTCACTAGGCTGCCCAGACAGGACTCAAACTTATGATCCTCCTGTGTCAAGTGCTGGGATTACAGGTTGATGCTATTGTACCCAGCTTTCCCCTTCCCTTCCCTCAAGTACTTTGACTAAGATCCTTGAGTAGTTAAATTTTATTACATAGAGTACTTCTGGTCAAACTACAATGCAATGAAACTCACTGGATAAATTTCTAAATTTTCAACTTTAAAACCAGATATTCACTTTGAGCAATATTTTACATGACTAATGGCTGGCATTTACCAGAAGAACTTCTGACAAAGGCTGGGGATTTAGCTTAGTGGCCTGAGTACCTGCCTGCAAGTGCAAGGTCATGAGTTCCATCCCAGGTACCAAAGAAAAAAAAGAATTTAAGACACTTATGATTGGATTTGATCAGTACAACTGAATGATTGGATTTGATCAGTACAACATAACTCCTACTTCCATGAGGCCCAAATTCTAAGCCTGATCAATCATTTACCTCCCAGCTGTGGCTCACAAGTCAGCTCCCAGTGCTCAGTATACACCCCAGCCCATCCCTGTGACTGCCCAACAGATGCAGGATTGAGTCCACCCAGAGCTACCAGAGAATCCAGCCATGGAAAAGTCCAACAGTGGAACATACTCTAACAGTTTCTTAATTATCACTTTCCAATATGTAAACATATGGACTCCAGACTTTAATGTTTACTTGTCTCAGGTCTCTAAAATATTAGGGCTACGGAAAGTAGGACAAAAGAGCTTGGGAATGCCAGCTTACACAACTCATTTAAAGGAACACTACCAAAGACCATGACTGCATACCTGGAGGTGGACTGATATGTACACCATTTTTTAGGCTCCACTGCACAGGGAAAATACCAGGGCTGTTAACATGGCACACAAAGGATCGCCGTGCATGGCCCTCTGCTCGCAAGTCATCCATCTCCACCAGAAAGTACTTCTCATCAAACACCTGCTCATGCAGTTAACAGATGAAACAGACAGATGGTTACACATATATCTGAACACAGACACGGTACACATGTATGCTTCACAGTCAAACATGTCACAAAAGTGCACAGTCACACTGGATAGCAGTAATGTTAAATGCTCAATAAATGTCAGCCTTCTATCAAACACCACTTTAAGTATAACACGATGGTCAAAATTTATAGCGATATTTGCATTTTAAAAACTAGTAACAGGGGGCTGGGGATTTAGCTCAGCAGCATAAGTACCTGCCTTGTAAGCAGGCGGTTGTGAGTTCAATCCCTGGTACCGATAAAAAAACGAAAAAGACAAAAAAAAAAAAAAAAAAAAAAAAAAAAACTAGTAACAGTGAAAGACGCATTGCCGTCAGTTCCCCTCAAAATACTACCCTTACTTCAAATGCATTTATTCTATAATTCTTGCCACTTTCTGAAGCAGTTCTGGAATTTTCTCTCTTATGAGGGTCTTTATGAGGTGTAATTAATAAAATGGTGATGCTGATGCTGAGTGCCACCAATAGGAAGGCAGGCTTGTAAAACATTACAGTGTGTCCTCTTCCTCGAGATGTGGCACCATGAGACTTCTGGTTCTTACCCAAAGTGAGAATGATTATGAAAGGTAAACATCTTTAATCAATTCAGGACATTGAGGCAGCTAGAGACACATGCCGAAGAGACAATTTCCAGAACTACTTCAGAAACCGGTACGAAAGATATGATGTGTTCCAAGAATGGAAAATATTTTGAGGGGGATTAATGGCACTATGTCTTTTACTGTAACAATTTTTTTAATTCACTGTATTTAGTTTTAATCTAACAATCTAATGAAAAAGGCTATATTGGAGCTGGAGATTTAGCTCAGTGGCATAAAGCAACTGCCTTGCAAGCAGGTGGTCGTGTTGATCCCTGGTACCGGAAAAAAAAAACAGTCAAAAAAAAAAAAAAAAAAAAAAAAAAAAGGAAAAAGGCTATATTAACAACTCCATTTTCTAGACAAGGAAAATGAGTTTAAAAACAGTAACTTGTCTCAGGTTACACAGTCAGGAAGTAGCAGAACTTGGATTCAAACCTAACAGTTGGGCTCCAAGTAAAATTTAGTTTATGCTTAGTCAATGGTCAGCTCCAGATCCCTGTTCAATTTCCATCGCTAAACTTAATAACCTTCTTTTAACTCCTAACCATACATTTCTTCAGACTCCAGACACATTATTATGACTTTATTTACAAGTTCAGAATTTTCCCTGGCCCAGAGAATCATCTTCTGTCAAGATAGGGAAAACTTGTATCTCAGCAGGTCAGATGATTCAGCAGTAAAGAAACTGCATGTTGCTTTCCACTTCTGGCTCTGCTTTCTGTAAATCCGCTTCTGCTATGATCCTACACTGAATCCTCTCCCTTAGGCAGGAACGGAGTCACTGGCCCTTGACAATGTGCTCAGCTCTTCTGTTTATTCCTAACAAAAGCCTGACATCTGTCAGTCTTTTGAGGAGTACAGTCTGAATCTGGGATACAGGGCTGTAGCTACTCTCACATCTGGTGACAGTGATTGCCTGCTTCCTCCACATCTGATGCCAATCAGCTCTGTCCCAGGCAGGACGATGATGACACTCTCGGCCTCCAGACTTCACAGACACAGTGACTGCATAACTTCTTCCAATGATGCATAGTTAGGCCTGCCCCAAAGACTAATCCTTGTCCCCACTGGGTACCCAGGCCCTAAGTCTTCTTTGCTTGACTATGGCTACCAAGCCCTGAATAAAAAACTGTCCAGATAAAACTGAACAATAAAGTACAAAATATGCACAGAAGTAATTCTAGCTGACCTCACAATCGGATATTTTGTTTTGCTTTTTCTGTTTTGAGGATGAGTTTTGCTAGGTAGTTTAGGTTGGCCTTAAACTCAGTATGTAGCCACCTGCCTCAAACTTGAAGCAATCCTCCTGCCTCAGCCTCCAGAGTGCTGGGATTATAGTACTGTGCCACCATGACTGGCAACAAGTTGGATTAACAGAGAATGAAGATCAAAATACTACCATTTCCTAAGCCAGTCACTATGATGGGGACTTTTCCTAAGAGAATTCTTTCTATTTTACCTTAACAATTGTAGCAGGAGAGATCTCAAAAGGTGACCATGGGTCTACAGCTTCCAATTTCATATTTACAGAGAACGCATGAACGCCAATAATCTGTTTGTCCTGAAAGGCAAACAATGAAAGGGAACAAAAATGTAGCATTGACTTTACACTCAAATGTAACTAAATAGTGTTCTAATAATTAATTAAAATAATGTCTAGCTTCTGCTCCTAAAGTCCTATAATTTCTTTCCTGGAAAAAACTAATCAAGACAAAAAACAACATAGAGGGCACATTTTCTCTCTACATTTAGAACACAAGGGAAATCTAAAGGAAAAACCAAATTTATTTTATAACAAGTTAAGACTACCCATTTAAGAGTGGGAGAGAATCTTAAGAGGACTTAAAGAGAAAATCCAAACAAAGACTGCAAAAGACAAGTGTGATCATAGGTTCAGCCTCAACCCTGCCTCCTTCCTGTGCAGACCAGGGCGCTTGTCTGCTTCTGGGGGTCATTTTCACTTTTTCTCTTTCCTTAGCCTACTATGAGAGGAGAAACATTGTCTCTCAAACATTTTTGACTTTACCTTAAATAAGTAAGATGGCAATGGTTCTTCTTCTTCCTCTTTGACTTTGGCCAAAATCTCCTGCCACTCAGCTTCATTTTTCAAATGTCTGATGGCTTCAGCAAGACAGGACAACATGCTTTACATAAGAAAGCCTATATACTTGCTTCAACTAATTTGAAAGAATCTACATAAAGAAAAGAAGTACTTCCCACTGGGACAGGAGAGAGTGCAAGCCCTTTATAATCATCTTCACTCAAAAGAACTGGCGTCATAACCTCAGTTAGGAGTTATACAGAGCTAAGCTTTGTGAAAACGCCTTCAGTAAGATCATAAGGGTTCCTATAGGCCACAAACCGGAGTTTAACACAATCTGCTGTGAATTCAGTTTACTACATATACCTATCTGAAAGTCACCCAAAGAATTTTTTCTTTGCTTTGATAAGAAGTCAGTATGAGTTTGGGCAGAAGTCCCAAGAATTTAATCAATGTGTGGTAATTATAAATTGAAGATAATGAAAGAAAAATAGGCATTTAACAACTCCATATAAATTTGTCATAATACCTCTGTTAGACTTTAATGAGAAGATTGTTTTTCAGTCTCATGGACATCATTAACAACAAAAATGTGTTTTAAAAATGTGTATTACAGATTTCCTACTGTTTATTTTTTCTGAAATTCTGTAAAACTTGTACTCTTTAAAAAAAAAAAATGTGTATTACTCTTTACCTAGTGGGGGCCGAAGTTCGTATCCTTGTTGAGCAGCCCAACCAACATGATGAAGAAACGGATCCAAGTAATACAACCAGTGTTCAAAACTGTCAGGACTCTCCAGTCCTTCGTAATGCAGCTTCAGCCGGCCCCCAATATTCTCTACCACAGTAACAATCCAAGTACTGAGAGAGTCCCGAAAAGCCTGGCACTCTAGCCTGGATCCTGGGGCAACGAGATCTAAAGGGTTCCTTCCGTGGCGGAGCTATGGGTTTAAAAAGTTGAATGATTAAATAAGAGAAGTTAACCTATTTTTTAAAGTTCCAAATTATTTTAAACCAACTTTCACATATTTTTGCCCATCAAAAGCCAGTGACTTTAAATTGTCAACTATTATACAAACCTCTTACATTATTACTTCTAGATGATATGAAAATGCTTATCTTAAACAAAAACTACCTATAATAAAATAACTGTTTTTAACATCTCTTATCTCTAGACTTGTTTCATTTAATAAGAATTTTTTGAGTATCATCACCACTTTGTCTGACTGTACAAGTAAATATAGTTATCATTTTTAACATGTGGAAGTGTCCCATAATCCCACCTCTGAGAACTACAGTAAATACCTGGCATTCACTCTTTTCTACACACAACTCACTACCCACTGCTGCCTCTTTTTCAAAATGAGACCAGTATATACTTTTCTACTTTCTTCAGTCTGTCCTTCACTTATTACACTGTAGGTATTTTTCTAGTAAGATCTAGTCTAGTCAGCTAGACTAGATTTACATCTAGTCAGCAGATGTAAATATTCCTCACTTTTTTTTTTTTTTTTAAACCAGTACCAGGGATCGAACTCATGACCACGTGCTTGCAAGGCAGGCGCTTATGCCGCTGAGCTAAATCCCCAGCCCCTAATCTTCTTCACTTTTACAACTGCTTTATGATATTCTTTATTGTAGGTGGGCAATGATTTATTCACTTAGTTTTTAATGACATCTCACTTATTTCTGATTTTTTACCCATTTTACAAGGTTCTAATGAAGTTAGTAAGAATTTTTTATTACACCAAAGGAAAGGGAAAATTCAACTCTATCTAGATATATCTTTAAAATTACAAAACAAAATAGAAGAGAAACATTCATTCCCAAGTCAGCATTTAGTCATTTAACACTTAATCTTTCATTTCTTTGAGTAAAAAGTGCTCCATTTCGAGGTATGCAAAGGAACATATAAACAAATGGAGAAACATATTCACAGATCAGATTTCAAAATGGCAGAAACACTGTCAATGCAGAGTAGAGTATTTCATCAGTGCATTTATTCATGCCTTCATTCATTCAAATTTTACTGTTTTACACATGCAAGTCTCTGACGAAGCATAAAAAAATGACTCAGACTATGAAAAAATAAAGAACAGCTTGAAATATAGTAGTCAAAAATCAAGACTTAAAAGGGGGTGTTAATAGGTCATAGATCTAAATGTAAAAGTTAAAATTATAAAATTTGTAGAACAAAGTACAAGAATGTCTTTTTTAACCTTGGGCTAAGCAAGGCCTACTTAGATACGGCACCAAAAGCACAAGCAACAAAAGGAACAGATACTGTACATTAGACTACATAACAAAATCCTTTGAAATGATGGAAAAAAAAAACAGTTCTCAGAATGGGAAAAAAAAGTCTGAGAATCAAATATTCTATCAGTAGTTGTACAGCATAAGAAATCCTTCAATTCATTAATAAAATCAAATTTTAGAATGAGGAAAAACATTGTTCCAAAAAGATTCATGAATGCATGTCCAAAAAGATGTTGCACGAGCAAACATTGTTCCAAAAAATGATGCATCAGTGACACACAAAATGATGCTCAATGTCATTAGCCCTTGGGGAAATTCAAATCAAAATGAAACATCACACCAATGAGGATAGCGATAATCAAAAAAGGTAACAAGTAGTAGCAAGAATGGAAAGAAATTGAAACCTTCAAACATCACATTTCACATACATATGCCACAAAGCAGTAAGGTATAATTTAGAAAGCCCACAACAGATACATTTCTCATGTAATCAAAAATTTATACCCACTAACAACTTCAAAACCACACTAATTTAAAAGGACTCTGGAAGTATGTAGCAGTAAAGTCTGAATGAAAAAAAGGTGATCTCAAGTTGTCTGGCCTGAGTTACACATGCCCACCCGGAAGCAGAATCAACCCCTGCTCAATTCCAGGGTGAGAGCTCTCAAAGGCCTCACTTTTTAACAGTGTCAAACAATCTGGAAGACTAGAATTTTTATGTATTAGCAATGAATTCAGAAGATTTGCAAGCACCTAGAAAGCCACCAGCTTGAAACCTCCAAGGATAAATTTAAACTTTATAATACTTATGCCTGTGTCTCTAGTAATAATGTTTATTTGCTTCAGAGTAGAAAATTAGCTACTGATTTTAGATTCCTTAAGGGCCTTCCACACTGATTTTGACATACAGTAATACTCACGCCCTCTAGCAGTGGAACAGGAGGACTACACGCTCCCATCAGGGCCTGCCGCAGAAACGCATCCCAATCAGAGACTTTATCTCTGATGCCTAGATGAGGGAAGAAATGACATTACTCAGTGTCAGCCACAGAGCACAAGGAAATCTGATACTTGGAAATGGCTCAGAGGTATGCTGCTCATTTTCAGATCTAAAAGTTCAACATACTGTTTTTTTGGGTGCATGAAAAGACAAGATAAAACAAAACAATTCTTCAGACTTTAGTAACAGTTGTATACAAAACAACTCTGTTACCACCATTTTAGCCAAAATGTACGTTTTATCTTTATAGGAAAATGTCAAACATACATAAAAAGTACAGAAAAAGGTAAAATGAGTCCTCATGTACCATCATGCTTAAACACATGTCACCTCACAGCCAGTCTGTTTCATCTACAGCAGGAATCAGCAAGCTACCTCCTGGGAGCTAAATCTGGCCTGTTATCTATTTTTGTAAATAAAACTGAACTGGAACACAGCCAAGCCAGTTTGTTTATGTACTGTCTGTGCTGCCTTCACACTACAAAGGTAGACATGGGCAGCTGTAATACAGACCATACGACCCACAAACCTGAAACATTTATATCTGGCCTTTTATAGATAATCTGTAAACCCTGGCCTATAACCTCACAAATATTATTCTCACTCCATCAACAATTACCTAGAAAACAATTCTAAGTATCATATAATATATAGTCCAGTACATATTTCTAGAAGTAAATAACTTTTTATGTATCCAGAACAGTATTGTAACCTTTAAAATGTTAATAATTCCTTAATGCCAAATCTCCAGCTCATGTTCAACTTTTTTCAATTGTCTCATAGTTTTAAAAAATTTATTCGATCAAATCAGGATCCAAAATTAAATCTATACATTGTAAATGGTTGCTCATCTAAAGTACCTATAATTTGTAGGTTCTTTTTCCTCCCTCTGGAGTCCCCTTCTTGCAGCACGAGTGACTCAGCCTTTATTCTAAATAGTTTTCAGAGTCTGTTTTCATAAGCTGCCTCTCAGTGGCAACCAGCTGTTCCACTGTCATATATACTTTTTTTTAGGAGTAGTATATATTGAGAGAAAGAAAACTTCCATTGAGAGACAGAAGGGTTCCAAGTGGGTTGCCAAATGTCACCTATGCTTTAGAGACAGGTGCTCAATCAAACTTGGATTAGGTATTTTTTGAAAGGAATTATATCCTCCCATCAACAAGTAAATAAGGTCTGGTTGTCTGTTCTTTGTGACACTAGATGGAATGAAGGCAAAAAATGGAGAGAGTCTATTACTCTATTTACTAACCAAAATACTTCTCAAACTTCTCTTCTTCAACTTTTTGATTATTTTAAAGCAGGGCTCACAAAACCTTTAAAATAACCAGTTGGTTCCTTGGCATCTTCCAAGGCCAGCAATAATTTCACTATGAAATCATAACTTAAAACACATGTATTTGACTGTAGTCAATCTGAATTTTTTTTACTTCTAATAGAAAAGTAAAATCATCATTTATTGATGTTATTAAGTTATTGATTTATTGATGCCCTTCAATCTGTCATTTTGTTAACTGTCAGATACATTGTTTGTACAGTTTCACTGTTATCCATTCTACTTGGATATATAATTTCACTTTTTAAATCTTTAAGTAGAGAGGTTTATATTTTCTACTGCTTACCTTTATACTAATACCTTTGTGTAATATTTTTAGCCTTCTATTTTTGGGCTATTTTCTTTTTGTCTCTAAACAATACTGAACTTAGGCAACCTCTTTTTGTCCTTCTCATTCAGCACTTCATTCTGGGTAATGTCATTTTACTGCCAGTTAATTCTAACAAAAAATTAGTTAAATTACATAGCAAACATGATTTTTAAGAGGCAATAAGCAGGCGTGTGCCAGTACTCACTCACATGTTCTCCTCTGCTGCGTCCCTTCCTTAAGAGCCTATGCCGACACTGCCAGAGCAGCTCCATGCACTGCCGTGTGCCTACATAATCCTCACTTAGTCTTACTCAACTTTCACACTGACATGTGATGTTTCTTGCAGTTCTTATACTCATTTGCTTCCCTATATATGACAAGCTTTTTTAGTATGTAATTTGAATTCTTTTATTTTAATAGTTTATTTAAATTAGTTACAGTATTTTGTTTCATTGTGTTGGTTTTCTTCTTTAAGGATTTCTACTTTATGTATCATAAATTTTATGTATCATTGTAAATCTGTCTATATAATTTTCTCCAAGTCTTTTTGTTTTCCCAGTTTTTAATTTCAAAACGTTTTCCCTTTCTTCATCTTCCAGATAGTGTCCGTGGTGATTTATCCCTGTGTTCATCTGAATTAAGTTTTTATGTCTAGGGCTGGGGATTTAGTTCAGCGGCATAAGCACCTGCCTTGCAAGCAGGCGGTCGTGAGTTCGATCCCCAGTACCGATTAAAAAATAAAGAAAGTCCCACACTATCAGCCTAGCCCAGCCTGTTTAGCTGCCGCGCCTGGCCATAGGTCTGCAGAGGAGGAGCTGGGCAGATCTGGGGTGCCCTCACCGGCCTCTCTGCGTGTCTGGAGGACTCTGGATATCTCCGCCCAGACTGCTGGAGTTCCCCCAGGCTTCCAGGTGCAGTGAAGGGGAGAGGTGGGTTTGAGGCTTCCACATCAGCCTCCCCATTCCGCCTTCACTTGGAGACCAGCTGAGCTCCCGATAGGTGGGCTGGCCCACACTACCAGCCTAGCCCAGCCTGTTTAGCTGCCGCGCCTGGCCATAGGTCTGCAGAGGAGGAGCTGGGCAGATCTGGGGTGCCCTCACCGGCCTCTCTGCGTGTCTGGAGGACTCTGGATATCTCGGCAACCAGGGAGGGTCCACAGGTTCCTGAAGCACTGCGGCCTGTGGTGAGTACCCTAACCCGGCTGCGATTGAAGAACTGTGGAGCTTCCAAGGGGCAGGTGGGCGCACAGTGTCCCTGAGGCCCAGCTTGTCTGGAACTGCGGAGTTCTGAGCAGGCAGAGGAGGGCCACTGGTTCTGTAGGCCCAATGGCTTGGGGTAGCGCGGTGCCAGAGTCTCAGTAGCTCCAAACATAGAAGGGGATTTTCAACAGATCCTGAGGAAGCTTTCAAATAACACTTGAAACACAGAAATATAGGAAAATGACAAAACGAAAGACCAAATTACAACCTCAAACCTCCAGCCCATCTCAAGAAACCCTAGGAGCGATGTATATGGAAGAAAATATATCCCATCCACCTCATATATCGGACACAATAGCCACTGAAATTGACAAGCAACTCCAGGAAGCTTTAAAGAAATTCAAACTCGAAATAATCTCCCAGATAAAAGAAGAAATGATAAAAGAAATGAAAGAGATTCTAAATATATCTAAAGAAAACACAGATAAAAAATTGGAGGAACTAAACAAAAAGATAGAATCCCTAGACGAGCAATATAAGAAACAAACAGAATACATAATGCAGATGCACAGAGATATACAGGAAATAAAAAACTCCACTAAAAGTTGTAAAAACCGCCTTAATGAAAGTGAAGATAGAATTTCAGACCTTGAAGACAGGATTGCAGCTAGTGAACAGGAAAGGAAAGATCTTTTGAAAATAACAAGGAATCAGGAAACAACAATTCAACAACTGCAAGACGATGCAAAGAAGAATAACATAAGAATGATAGGGATTAATGAAAGAGAGGGAGACAACATGAAGGATGTCAGGAGGATATTTAGAGAAGTAATAGCTGAAAATTTCCCAAGCATGAGAGCAGAAACTGACATCAGGATCAGTGAAGCATATAGAACTCCAAACAGTCATAACCAAAATAAAACTACACCCAGACATATAATAATCACCATCCCAGAAATCCAACACAAGAATAGATTATTAAAAGCTGTCAGAGAGAAAAGACAGATCACTTATAAAGGAAAACCTATCAGAATCACAGCAGACTTCTCAGCACAAACGATAAAGTCAAGAAGAGCATGGAGTGAAGTATTCCAGATCCTAAAGCAAAATGATTTCCAACCAAGACTGATATATCCTGCAAAACTATCATTCAAAATAGATGGTGCAATACGATACTTCCATGACAAAAGAACAGCTGAAGAACTTCATGAACACCAAACCAACCCTGCAAAAAATATTGAAAGACAGTTTAGATACACAAAGGAAAAAACCACTAAGCAAAGCAAATAATTAAACAGAACAGAAAGATAAAGATGCAACAGCAGAGAGATAACATTCCTACAATTAACCAGCATTTAACAGTAATAACCATTAATGTAAATGGTCTCAATGCACCAATCAAAAGAAACAGACTAGCAGAATGGATCAAGAAACAAAATCCAACCATATGCTGTTTACAGGAAACCCATCTAACCCAGAAGGATACTCACAGACTGAAAGTCAAAGGATGGAAAACAATTCTTCATGCAGCAGGAATCCAAAAAAAGGCAGGAGTAGCCATTCTGTTTGCAGACAACATGAACTTTAAACCAACAATGACCATAAAGGACAAAGAAGGTCACTACATACTCGTAAGGGGAAAACTCCAAGAGGAAGAGATAACTATCTTAAATATATACGCACCAAACTCCAGAGCACCCAGTTATATAAAACAATTATTAACAGAAATTAAAACTCAAATTATCAGTAACACAATTGTAACAGGAGACCTTAATACACCACTGACACCAAGGGACAGATCAACCAGACAGAAAATGAGCAAAGAAATAACAGAACTGAATCACACCTGTGAACAAATGGGTTTGATAGACATATACAGAATGTTCCACCCAACAACATCAGAATACACATTCTTCTCAGCAGTACATGGATCATTTTCTAAAATAGACCATATATTAGCTCACAGAACATATTTAAGCAAATGCAAAAAAGTTGAAATCATCCCTTGCATATTATCGGATCATAGCGCTCTGAAATTAGAAATTAATGACAAAAGATACTGCAAAAATTCCGCAAGCACATGGAAACTAAATAACACACTCTTGAGTAATCAGTGGGTCACAGAAGAAATTAAAGAAGAAATTAAACAATACCTAAAAGAAAA